TTTAAACAGGAGCTACTTGAGTAAAATAAGAATGGTTAACTGTAAACAGAAAAATAATGGAGCTAAAAATTGAAAACTAAAAGAATATTTTTCATTTGGTCATAACTTTTTATAGTTCATAAAAGATGTCAGTAAAATCACGCCTAATGATTTCTTAAATTTACGCGAACACTACACATTGAATAAAACTATTATTTACGGATTTTATCGCGTTTAATTACTTTAATTTATTTTTATTATTATCCCGACGTTTCTGGTGCTTTACAGCACCCATGGTCGAGGGGGGACTGAGATGTTTGACGTCCCAAGGGCTAACAATGACATTGGGACGTCAAACATCTCAGTCCCCCCCCCCCGTGACCATGGGTGCTGTAAAGCACCCGAAACGTCGGGATAATAATAAAAATAAATTAAAGTAATTAAACGCGATAAAATCCGTAAATAATAGTTTTATTCAAAATCACGCCTATGAAGGCATGCCGACCTAATTAGTGCATTCCCATAAAGTATAACATTGACAGGTACTGTCTGTACTACTAAGAAATTCTGGATTTCATAGGCGTGATTTTTACTGACAGATGTCGCAGAGATCAAGCTATCTTTTATGAACCATAGTGCCAATATTATTTTCTTTCGTGTCCTAATGAAAGTTACGTCTATTTAGTGGACTATTCGTTAACTTAGAACTGGTTAGTGGTCACTTTTGGTTATTGTCTTTTGTTGTTTAACCTTAACTGGTAGTATGAATTGCGAAACTTGACCTTACCAGTTTCACTATTAATTATACTCCACATCATTTTAATTTTATTATAAGCCATCTTAATTTTGTTGCTCAAATACAAAGATGTGGCCGTGGAGCACACTGTTTTAAATACTTTTGAATATATTTTTATATGTTTTTTAGTGATGGAAGTTTTTTCACTATGGGTATGTTCCGAAACGTTTTCAATATACTGCCGAAATGCCGAAACAAATGACGTCATCAATTGACACTATATTGTACTGGCGTGCCGCCGCCTTATTGTGTCGGATATCCGGCTATAATAAAACAATTTTTAATTGTGTGTGCTCTGAATGAAGCATGCCAGAATTTGTTTTTATTTATTTAAATACAAAAAAATTATAGAATAATTGCTGGTATCTCCATTAGGAGGATAATGATTTTTGGAGCACAAAATGACAAAGTAATCGCAAACACTTTTCCAATATGGCGAAAATGTATGACGTCATATGCTGTCCTATGTTTTGGAACGAATCACCAGTATTGCGTCGATTCATAATATCATTTGCATTGGACAGTACACTGGGTTCTATTTTGGAACATACCCTATGTTACTTCTAAACTTCTCCAAGCGTATATCATGTATTTACTGGAACAAACACAATTTTCTCGTCTAATTGCTTTTTGTGAACATATAGTAACAACACTAATTGTCCCAGTGACCAGAACTCAAATTTTGAATTATACAATGGATTACATTTGTAAAAATGTTAACTATAAGTTGCGTATCGACATTGAATTTGCATTGTTCGGCCGCGGCAAAGCTGTTTTTTTTTGGCTAGCAAGCCAATTTTAGTCCACCATTTAACTATAGCGAGGCAGCCGCACGCGGCAGCCGATCCGCCAACGAACGTCCATTTTGTGCGCGGCAATCATGGACGTTGTACGTTGGGGGAAGTGCAACAGGCAAGCCCATTTCTGCACTGATTTCATTCCAAGCATCTTTTCTTAATGATTTGTTGTGATAATCACTACATTTACTGTTCCATAGAAATTGTTTAGTACCATAATATAATCTAATTAAAGTACGACACATGTTCATCCACGTTTTTCCCGCGCGCGCCAACTAAAATGCGTAAACGACCGTCCTAACAGGGTTGTCTTTCTACAAATTTTAAAGTCCCTAGACTAACAGAAAAAATCTGCCAGAAACAGGATTTTTCTTTTCTTAAAATCCGCTAGATGTCCCTAGGTACATTTTCGTGCTACCATTGGGCTAACTGAAAAATATTGCCAAACGGTATATATACAATGAATACCGAAAATAATAAATGTATAAATACAGAAAAACCTTAAAAAGAGTTCTCGTAATAATCTGATTGTAAATAAACATTCATTATTTTTTTGATAAATAGCTTATCGATTAAAACAAATGTTTAAAAAATAATTAAATCTCGCTAATTAAAGTAGTAGGAATGTTTAAAGTTGAAATTGGTACTAAAAGGCTGGTAATTGGAGCATCCACCTAACAAAGCTTGAATATAAAATTTAAATCAGATGCGTGTAATTGCTCTGGAAGCTTGTAGCAAGCTAACGTGCGCCCAACGTGTGGACGCGGTGACCAAACTCTGCCAACAATCCTTTGATCTTTTGTAAAAAATCGACACCACACGGATCTCGCGCTAACTCTATTTCATATAAATCAGTTATTTATAGTGTAGGTTAATGACATGACAACCAAAACAAAAATTATTCATGTATAAAATAAAAAAAATATTGTAAATAATAAATCTTTAAACTACGTTTAAACATTAGTCATCTTACTAAAAATAAAACAATTAGCTCAGTACGTTCTTGTACCTTAATTTCAAAATTAATAGCGAAGTATGGATCTAGATCTTCAAAAAGAACTTCAGCGGAAGTTGAAGCTTCGCCAATGTCTCCAGTTCCCATCTTAAGGGCAAACCACCTTACCGACTTTGTTGACAACATCTTTAGGAATACGAGTATCATACGTTGCGCAATTCTTTTTTTTTTTTTAATCCTTAACTGATTTCTTATTAGAAGAATTTCAAAGTTTTTTTCCGATAGCTTTTTTCGCAGTTTGCTTTTAACTATATTCATAACACCAAATACGCGTTCAAATTCTGCATTTGAGTGCGGTAGTGATAATATTATTATTGCAAAATTACATAAATCTTCGAATATGTTTACTCCTGGTGCATTTTTGTATGTCGAAACAGATGTAAGTGAATGAACGACATTGAATTGTTAGTTGATGTTCGCGAATTCCCGTGAAATTATATTATATATACAGTGTTACCAACGGTAGATTACAAAATTGGACATAAGATAAATGACTTATTTGAAATAAATTACTTTATAAAAAAGTCGCCATCTAAAAAGTCCAAGTGTCGCTAGAAGTCGCTAAATAATTATTTCTCGCTAAAACGATTTTTTTTATCCGCTAAACTTTGTTAAAATCCGCTAGATCTAGCGAGAAAGTCGCTAAAACGGCAACACTGCGTCCTAACTGCGTCAGCACAACTCGCTGAGATTCCTTTGCCGCGCCGTCAAAAACCGACATTGGTTCGTCGCGCGGCAACTTCGAGCGCGCCAATATTTGAATTGCCGCGCGCGGTAACACAGTACCCCATTATTCACTGTGCGCAGCTGCCGCGGGAGCCTATGTTCGATGGTTTGCTATGATACATGTTGCACTAGATTCAGCAATACGCGTTGGTTTCAAAAATAAATTAAAAAGACCATATAATTTAAATTATGATCTAAATTTAATATTGGTGGAGGAAGCTTTTAGGAAATTGATAATAAAGTATCCACATATTAGAACAGAATACTGTTTATTAATCTTAACAAAAAGTTACTCCATAATTTTTTCAATAGTATCTTATATAGAACATGGGGGTCTATCTCTCTCTCTGTCTGTCTTACAACACTTACAACAATGAGGTATTGAGTTTAACTCAACACATGCCACTTTTACAGTTTGCTCACCAGGGAGGCATATCTTTACATTCTTTACATGATAATAATTTAGTAGCTAATATTAAGGAGCCACCTCTACAAAACCGTTTCTCTATTGAAAGAACTACCAACAGCATAATTTCATATGGAATCTGGCTATGGGTAATGCAACTAACATTGAAACTATCTTTGTTTTGCAAAAGAAAGCCATAAGTGCAATATTTATAACCAAGATCCAAAGGAATCCTTTAGAGAAAAATTTAAAGAAATAAATAATATGTACATTCTGTAAATACTAGAACGAGCACAAGTTAGTAATACCAGTTAATCATCTCCCAAGAGTCAGAAATTCCTATATGTAGCAATGTGAAAATGTGTACATACTTTCTAACCCCCGGCGAAAAAGAGGGGTGTTATCAGTTTGACTGTTATGTGTCTCTGTCTCTTTGTGACACCATAGCTCTTAAACTCAAATAAACAAGTGACCGGATTTTTTTAATTTTTATTTAAAAGCCGGTTTTTTAGTGGTAATTCTTAGACATCTTTTATCAAAATTGGTTCAGCCGTTTGAAGTTCATCAGCTTTTTTGTTTTTGGGGGTTTGTAAAATTTTCAATTTAAGATAATTACAACAAGTTTTTGAAAATATGCAGGCCTTAGCTATCAAAAAGTTTAAAAATTTAAGCAAAAATTGTGTATTAAGCGTTATTTATTATAGTACTAAAGAGTACATAATTGATAATAACCCCTGGGAATGAGGTGACCACTACTAGTTGTATGAAATATTATATTGTATTTTTTTTAAAGTCCTGCTTCGTTTCTTGTAGAACAGAGGTTTTTTACCATTGGTAAAGCTTAAATGACTTCCAATGTATTCTTGTAAACTATATTGCATAAAAATGATTCCATTCTATTTGTATCTCCGAAGTTTTGCAGCTGTATGCTTAGGTTTTGATGTAGTTTTATTAATTACGAGATCCCAAGCAGGTGGTAGTACCTAAACCCCGGAAACAAAAGTACTCCGGGTTAACTATGACAGAAAGACATCAAACACCTCAGTCACCCTATGACCATGGGAATTGCAAATTACTGGAATCATCGGGTGTAAAATAAATTAAATTAAAAGCAATAAAATCCATAAAATTATTTTTATTCTTAGTAGTAGTTTCCTTAGTTAATCCATAAAAGTAGTTTATTCTTGCCATCCTTTATTTAAGAGAATTGGAACCCGGAATAATTTTTTGTTTTATAGAATATTAGAGGTGACTTAAATATGTTTTATTTTTTTGTCAAAGACAGGATTAGTAACCTTCTATTCCTTGGAGTCCCAAACAATTGTTGGCGAAACAAAAGTTGCAGGGGAAATATTTGACTTACAAATATGTTTTGATGATTCTCTTGATTTATTAGCTCTTTTGGTAAGTAAAACTTTAATTTCAATAAAACTAATAGAGATTACACTCAAATTTTTAAGGGTGGCATGTGCTATAACTTGTTATCATTTATCGGTGTAGCGCAAAACAAATATTAGTATTGAAATGTAAGCAAACTGTTATTACTTGTCACTTTATGTTTGGTATTTTGTAAGATATCAAGTCATAGAAATTAACAAGCCATCCCAGTAATAGAAATTGATTTTGGAACATACTGTTAAAACACTCTATATAATATTATTTCTAAACATAACATATGTGATCTCTATATAATATTATACTAGTTGTCAAGTAAATTCGGGGTGGGGGGGGGGCTAGTGACATGTATGTAATACGGGTCTTTGAACCTACACGGGCACCAGTCTCTCATGAATGACATATTATTGTTAAAATAGAGATGTAACACTAATTTATCTTCCATGTCGTCTGTGGTGAGAAACAAATAAATTATTATTAAATTGTTATTATTATAACTTATTAAAGTCCACTGCTGAACATAGGCCTTCCCCATAGATTGCCTCTAGGGGGGGGGGGGGGTATATTTGCCATAGTTGGTTGGCAACCGCAGTTATTTGTCTTTTTTAAAAGACGAAATATATAATATAAAATTAAAAAAAATGCTGCTGGCCACGTGATGATATAGAGTAGTGGATATTCTTACACTACGCTACTACACAGTCAACAACATCATTCATTTTGGTACATAGATCTCTTGGTAATAACTGGCTTCAGCAACTTCACACACATAATGATAAAGATAGATAATATAATTTTATTTCATACATAAAACAACTGGCAAAGGATAATAATTACAATTATTAATTTCTTTTTTTATTAGATATCAAGAGGACAATCTCAGCAATGGAAATTGATTTTGGAACATAGATCGCTTGGTTATAACTGGCTTCAGCAACTTCGGGCACAAAATGATAAAGATAGAAAAGATGGCTTTATGTCTTATATAAAACAACTGTCAAAAGACAAAATTACATTCTTTACACAGGGTGGATCCAAAGGTATAATTATAATAGAACTACATAGTTAAGGTTGTAGTATATTTATTGTAACCTGTAATAATACTTACACATAAATATATTCATAGATAAAGAAGATTTAAACATACTTATTATGTTTTGATATATTAAGAATATAATAATGTTTCACATGCTTTACTTACTTTGAAATTGGGTTGTGGGAAAGCTATAATATGTGAGATGTTTGATTAAATCTTTCTACTCTAATTTTCATTCTTCTTCTTCATTATCAGTTTCAAAATATCTACTGCAGGACATAGGTCTCTCCCATTCAAGGGATGATTTACCTTGTCGCACTTGACAGTTTGATGATCACAATACCTGTCGTCAGGCACTTACGGGAAGCATAGTGAACTATGTTTCCCGTCGCCGGCGTGGATTGTATTTTATGTCTGATATAAACTGATATGCCTTGTACCGGTAGCCAAAGTATAAAGTGGCCTCCCACCGCTAGATGGAGTGGAGATGTATGTAGGTGGCTCATAACCGCGCTTTGTAGTATTGCTTGGGGAGGCGTATGTTCAGCAGTGGACTTGTAAAGGGCTGTATCGATGATGATAAATATATATGTATACCGCCAATTCGTAAGCTTTAGTATTTTGTTGGCATATCCTATTGACCCCTCTACGACACCAACACTCGGCACTAATTTCATTTAAAATACAAGAGTTTCAAGATCTCCAGACATTACGGATTGAAACATTGTTTTTTTTTTCTTGATAAAATGGGTGACAAACACGCACACAATCCACCTGATGGTAAGTGGAGCATGGAATGTCACCCCTGAGGACAAAGATGGAATCTCTCTTATCCAGTAAAAAGAGTCTGGTTCTCTAAACTATAGCTGCAGCATGTCTCTACTACTAATTTACACAATTAAAAATTGTTTTAATATGGCCGGATATCCGACAAAATATGGCGGCGGCACGCCAGTACAATATGGCGTCAATTAATGACGTCATTTGTATTCGGCAGTATACTGGAAACGTTTCGGAACATACCCATAATATACATAAAAAAATTACTCAACAGATGACAAGTCTCAAAATATGGAGTATGTACTAAAACCAGTTGAATATCTTCCTATGTTTCGTAAAGGTTCGAATAACTGGGCTTTAACCGCACAATATGTCAATGGTAGACATTTCTTGACAGCTTTTGAGTTAAATGAAGGCACATTGATTGTAAGTATTCCCACACTCTAATACTGAAGCTTTATAATATAAAATAGCCAGCCTATAAATGTCTCACTACACACAGTCTTACTCTCATCATTAAAATAATATCAGGACAGTCTGTAGTCAGTTTTCTCTAGTACTTGTTTACAGTCACTACATGTTATGAAAAACATTTAATATCTCAGACATAATTTAATTATCGTCATTTTATAACCGACGGGTTTCGATTTTTACAAATTGTCCAATGTTAAAGAAAAGAATCACATCATCACAATCATGAAATAACATCTCACAACTCATTATAAATCCTTATTTATTATACACATGTTCATAAATTGTCAATCTTCAGAAATAATAAATTTAAGTTTCTTTATTAGCTTGAGAGTCCTGAAGATGACACACCATCAAGAACTTTAAGGCCTCATATAAAGAAAGATGGCTTATACATCCAGGGATTGTGGTCTCAGAGACTTGTTTACTTGCTGAGAAAGAATGAACTTGAAGTACATAGCGCCAACTTTTCTGTTGTTCAGGTAAAGTTATACAAACTTTGTAAAACTTTTATCCTATTATTATTTCAACATTTTGTTATGTTATTAATAAATAAATGTTTTGAATTACATTATTTTCTTTTTAAAAGAATATTAATATTAATTAGACACTATTTCCATATACCACACCAACTAAGCTTATCTAAAGTGATTTTCCTACGTATAGTTTACGACGATACTTAAATAGTTAAATAAATATATAAACAATTAAATATAAAAAAATACAATTAAATTAAAATATAATTAAATAAATAATTTAATATCATGCCATTCAGTTTTATGAAGAACTGGGCCGAATATTGGTTTCATATTCGGTATTCAGCATATTTGGCAGCTTTACCGAATATTTATATTCGGCCGAATATTCGGAGAAATCACCGAACATTCGGTAAAGTAGTATACTTAGTGTTCACTGTATTGAAATTTATGAATTGAGTAATGCCATGTCTTTCATAATTTTACTGTTGAAAGTATACATGATTAAAACTACTTTTACGGATTTTATCGCGTTTATTTTTACTTTTTATTTACTTTTATTTTTAATTCCTGACGTTTCGGGCGCTTTCCAGCACCCATGGTCACGGGGGACTGAGATGACTGACGTCCCGATGTCATTGTTAAACCCGGAGTACCTTCAGCTTTTTTAATTATTGTTTATGGTCCGATCTATGCAAAATGAACTGACTATGTCCTGAGGTCTTGCAGTGGTATGCTTGGGTTTAGTTTTAATTTTATTGATTATAGGATCCCAAGCAGGTGGTAGTACCCAGCCTCCTTCTCTATTGAAATTAGAATGTTTTTTAATTTCAATGGCCTCATGTGTCATCCTTGGTAGGAATCGGTGTTCTTTCGCGAGGATTTGTGGTCTATCAAATCTGATGTAATGGTTGGGTCGTCTAGGATATGATCACAAACTGCAGACTTCCCGGAACGTTGATGCTTCACATCAGCTATATTATGTTCTTTTACGCGGGTTCTAATTGATCTTTTTGTTTGTCCTATATAAGAGAGACCACATTCACAATCAAGCTTGTACACTCCTGCATCTTGTAGAGGAATATGACACTTGACATATGGTAGGAACTTACTAATTCTTCGGCGGCTTGTAGAATGTTCTAATAGAAGCTCGCTTCAAGATGTCTTTGACACCTCTGACATATGGTAGTACAGCAGGCACACGCTCGACTGTGGCCGGCTTCACTCGGTCACTGTGACGTAGGCGCGGGACCCGAAGCTTGTTGTCGTGCAGAACTTGCTTGACGTGCTGAAGCTCGGCGGCCAGGTGTTTGCTGTCACAGATCCCTCGTGCTCTCTGTAGCAAAGATTTGCCCACGGTAGCTAACTGTGAAGGATGGTGGTGAGATTCACCGTTTAAATATCGGTTTGTATGGGTCCTTTTCCTATACACAGTGTGACCAATGGTGTTATTAGGATTTCGGATGACTAACACATCTAGGAAAGGTAAGGAATTATTTGCCTCTAACTCCATAGTAAATTGAATTTTAGAGTTTATGGAATTAAGATGTTCTAAAAATGCAGTTACTTTGTCTGATGGTAAAATTGTGAAAGTATCATCTACGTACCGCTTGTAGATCCTTGGTGTAACAGGTGCAGTAAGGAGGGCTTTCTCCTCAAAGTCTTCCATGAATATATCGGCGACAATGGGAGATACAGGTGAGCCCATTGCAACACCATCTACTTGCTTGTAAAACTCTTCCTTCCACAATAGATAGCCAGATGTAAGGCAATGTCTTAGTAATACTGCATATTCTGCTGGCATGTTATTTTCCTCTAGTTTCCTAGTTATAATTGAGATGCAGTCTTCAACGGGTAGGCATGTAGAGCGACTGAACATCAAAACTGACCATGGTTTCATTGTCAGTAAGATGTAGGTCTTTTATCTCACTGACAAAATTGGTATGAATCCTTAGTGTGTGCTCTTGTGTGTCCTCTGAGTGGTGATAATATTTTAGCTAAGTATTGAGCCAATCTGTAGGTTGACGAATCAATCTGACTCACTATTGGACGTAATGGAGCATTCGGTTTGTGTATCTTTGGTAACCCATACAACTTCGGTGGTTTGGCACATGAAGGTATTATCGAATTAACGTCCAGATTCAATTTTTCGGAGTATTTCTTAATTAGATCGCTAGTTGTTTTAAGCGTTTTGTAGGGTCTGTTTTGACCTTTCGATAAGTAGTTTCATCCGACAAAAGTTGTTGTATTTTAAAATTGTAATCTGACGTATCCATTATAACCGTAGAATTACCTTCATCTGCGCGGAGAATCGTAAGCTCTGTTCTGTTGCGTAAGTTTTTCAACGCGTTAAATTCATTTTTGGGAAAATTTAATTTCGGCGCTGAACTTCGACGTAACATAGACGAGATGTCTTGACGTATGGCCTCTAAATCTTCATTATCCAATATTATTTTTATACAGACAGTCCTCAACACTACAGATAATGTCCTCATACGGTATTTTTCGCGGTGTTATTGCGAAATTAATACCTTTTTCTAAAACTTTTATTGTGGCGTCGTCCAGTGTTTGTTTTGATAAGTTGTAGACGACAGCGCGTTGTTTATGATTCGTGTCTGTGGTCAACGATTTCGTATGAATTTTATTTATGGGTTAAATCTACTTGTAAAGCGTTATGTTTTTGAAGCACTGTGGATTTATTTCCAACTATAGCAAACAGAATGCTTGATAAAATGTTTTTGGAGTCATAGTATCATACTTAAGTATATTTCACTTTACTTTGGTCGTTAGTTTCTCTAAAATAGGTCCAAATAGTAGATCTGCTGTCACTAATTTTTGTCATATAATTATCAATTTTCACTAAGAATAACACTACGTAATTTTTTTTCGCACAAAAATAGTCAAAACATAGCACATGCGCCGGCGATTTACTCAGTACAAGATGATGCAAAGGCATGTCAGGTGTGGTGGGGGAGTGAGGGGCAGGGTCCGGCGCAAATCCCGCGCGCTTTACGGTAACAAGTTTCGGAAGAAATTGGTTAGGTACCGAGGTGATCCAACCGAATAATGTTCGGCTGAATATTCGGTTCGGTAAAAGTTATACCGAACTTTCGGCCGAATATTCGTATTCGGTGAAGTCCATGTTCGGCCCATCCCTAGTTTTATGTAAGCATCATGTCATTGTATGGATAAAAATATTCAGAAGAAGGATGAGCAGAGATGAAATTGGTCACATTAGCAATAACTATTTTATGTTTTGTATCAAATGAACTGGACTGGATTAAAGGTGTCTTAAGGGAAGGGTGTGCGGAGAACCTTATTCATAAAGTATCTATATTTGACCATGCATTTTCTGTATTAATTGTGCATTTAATTTTCTAGGGTGAGGCTCTATTAGGAGTTAAAAAGGACTTCTCGGAGCTTTGGTCAGTAGAACTGATTGGTGATGTGCATCGTGCGTATTTGATGTCTGCTAAGGAACCTCCGACTGTCACAGCGGGCTGGCGTGAACCTACTTTCATGTGCGACTTGCAACTACCAAGGTTCACTCTTGAGCCTTGTCTCGTCGTGACTAGCTGTGGAGCATACATTTTAAATACTGTGTAAGTAAACAGTGCGTAGGATGAAATTGTTAATTGCAATTTTAGTGCTGATTGGGTGGATGAAAAAATTTTTGAGTTCCGTGACTTCCTACCCTCAGAGGGGGCGCAGGTGGGTGTAACTTTACTTTATTTAGTAAACAGTTACTTAGTGTGTTTTTGCAGTATTTATGTGTGTGTTTTGTATTCTATTAGTGAGGATCTTTAATTGGCTTACTGTTGTTATTAGTACTAACTATCCTAATTACGATAGCTGTTGGTCTTCCAAATAAAATAAAATAAAATAAAAAATAAAAAAAAATTACTTAATAGAGCTTGCAGCAAATTATTAGGTACTAAAACGCTGTTATAAAGAATTCTTTTCAACAGTTACTTAAAGTATACAATCCAAAAGAAATCAATTACACTAAAGAAGTTGTAAAGCAGCGTTGAGTTAAAATTGAAATGATCATTGTCATAACAATACATTGAAATTGTTATTAAATTTGCTTTTAAATTGTAATCAATTCCAAAGAATGATGTCATAGTTCCTTACATTGAAGTATAATGTGCATAATACATAATAACGAGCTTCCATAAAGTTTTATGCCACCAGGGCAGTGCCACTTATCGTATAAACGAGGTCCAATTATAGATAGGAAAATATAGAGATTAGTATTTTATTTATATTTTATATATATTAGTTATATTTTTCATTAATTAGAGTAGATTAAAAATAGATGAATCTTTTTATGGAGACTAATATTTTGACAATTTCGTCGTTGTTTATTACCGTTACAGACTGTCAAAAGTACAAGTCGCGGTACGTAAGTCCAGCGCTGAACGAAACGTGGAGGGGACAGCTGCGCATGTCGTATCACTACGCCAGTAGCCGTAGCCGTACGCAAGTAGTAGTAGCCAATCAGCGCGTGCGAACGATATGTAGCCCGCCCCGCGACCCGCTTACTTTTTTTATAGGGTAACAAACGAGTACACAGTCCACCTGATGGTAACTGGATGCTGTGGTCCATAGATATGCACATTTATCCTCAATTAGGAATCAAATGCAAATGCGTTGTCACTCACCATACGAAACAATACAGAATTTTTTTTATATTCATATTACTTTTTTAATGTATTCTGTGAGAGCGAGGTCCTGCCCTAGTTGAGCGGACCCATTCGTGCTACAACTATAGTATAGCTGCAGCGTGGCTCTACCACGTACCAGATACCCACCACATGTGTGTACAGCCATGATACCTTATTTTCGACGCGCCGTAACGGTCACCGCTAGACTTTTGTTCCACTACACATACAATGCTAAACGTATATATTGCTAAACATAATTGCATTTAACATCATAGTTGACTTGCCCAACAATCGCGCGGCTTGACAACCGCAGTATTTTTATTTTAGTCGTTATTAGGAAAACGGTACTGTCCATACTCCTGGTTTATTTCCTTCTATCGCCTTTTACGACACCTACGGGAAAGTCGCCATTACTTGGTCAGTTACTAAAAACTTCAATAAGTATAATTTAAGGGAGCTTTGTTTGGATCGTGACCGTCAACGGATTGTTGCTCCAGTTTTGTCGTTTATATGATGGTTTGAAGTGGATGTTGATAAATAAAAGTGTTGCGATTTTGTATATTAAGCGTTCCGAGAATGTGAACTGTTACTGAAAACGTTGAGACAAGAGCTTCAATATTGATATAAAAATTCAAGTTATTTTGTTCGCTTAGGCGATATAAAAACGTAAGTTACCGTCGTCATTAGCTGTCTGCCTGGGTAAAAACTTCGCAATGCGACGCATTAGCATATTGTCAAAAAGTTAACACAAATAATATTATATTGAATAATTTCTTATTACTTGACACTGGCAAATGTTTAATTGTATAAGTCCATGACCAAAGAGAAAAAAGTTTGTAGGTGTTTGACGACTCTGTAACTTAGCAATGAGCTGTAGCGCTTAGAGCCGCGGGTTTGAATCCCGAACGTAACAAATGTTTTTTGATGTACAAATAATTGTACTGGGTTTGAATGTTTGTACCTGTAAAATTTATGTTTTTAAACTGCCTCCACGATACGGAAAAACTCCTAGTGTTGAGGTAGCGTTATTGAAGTAAAGACTTTTTTTAGAATCGTTGCGATATGAAACTTGATGAAATGAAAAAGCGACACTAAAAGGAGACAAAAATACATCTATAGGATATTGCGAGAGAATGAGATAGAATGCAGTATGGTTTTTGTTTGTTGATATAGGTGTGAGCCGTGCGAGTGGCTGGTGGCGCTGATCATGCGCGGCGGCGCGGGCGCCGAGCAGTCGGCGGCGGCGCTGAGCGCGCCCGTGCCCGCGCTGCTGCGCGCCGCCGCCGACATGCTGCTGTCGCGCGGCAAAGTGGCGCCCGCGCAGTATCTCTTCTCACTCTCCCAGGTCTCTTATATTATCCACTTTTTACAGTTTATTCCTTAAGGCTGCCTGTCCATTTTTGCGGAGCAATGCAGTGGAGCGAGCGAGTATTGCAAAACTGAGTTGCGGACTGTGTCTGTCCATTTATGCGGAGCGAGGCAGCGGGGCGAAACGAGCGAGTATTGTGGAACGGAGTCGTGGACTGTACGGAGCTAGGCCGAGTTCCAACAGTTCAGACATACTAGTCGAACATCAGCGGCGTAATATCCCATACCCCCCAAAGCTGGTATGTTTCCACGCCGTCTCGCTCCGCTACCCCACTTTGCCGCTTCGTTCCGCTACCTCGCACCGCTGCCACGCCGCATCTGAAAATGTATAAATTAAACTACCTCGAAAATCCCTGTCCACTAGAGCGGAGCGAAAATTTTATATAATCCTTATTGGTTAATGTATTTCCGTGTCTCCGCAGAATCGCTCCATTTCAATGGACAGGTAACCTAAGATCCTTCTCCGCTGCTGCTGCGTATTAGTCGAGTACGAAGTAAGCACATCGTTCAGCATTCGGTGGAAAGTTATTTTATTTGAAACTGATATAAAGTATCCAAATAACAATGTAGTCGACTAAAAATGCATTTAAATAATATTCTTGTCTTTTTTGAGCGACAATTTTTTTAGCCTTATGAAGATGTCCTTCAAAAAAATTATCGCTCACAAAAGAGAACTCGAATGATTTAAAGAATTTTATCGGCAATTAAATTATAGTTAAAATATTTTAAACTTTCCCTATCATAATATTAATTATAATTTGCATTGTTTTTTATGACAATAAAAATTAGTTAAAAAATTGCTTTACCACGCATTTAGAATTTAAACTATAAAAAGGACAGAATGTTTTAGATTTTCTTTATAAATAATTTTTCTTCATCATTAGCCCATATTAGTTATTCTGAACCTTCTCTGCAAATTTGGCCGGTTATTGCAAAATAACCCTGTGTATATGTAATGGCAATTGAATAATGATTTCTTATAATTACGCGAACACTATACATTGAATAAAACTATTTATACGGATTTTATCATGTTTAATTAACTTATTTTTACTTCCCGACGTTTCGGTTCCTTTACAACACCCATGGTCACGGGGGTGGGGGGACTGAGATGATTGACGTCCCAATGCCATAGTTAGCCCGGCTACCTTTACTTTTTTTTAAATTTATTTATTTGGTCCTAAAACGGTGACCTTTGTGTACTATCTGGTACATAAAGGTCAGGTAACCATCACCTACACTCGCTTCCATTTATAAATAATTAAAGTTGATGTAGTATCTTATACTCTTATGTAGTATTTTGAATTTTATCATCACTAAGTGGAATAAAAAAGGCCTTGCAGTGGCACGAATTATTACGCTGTGGTCGTGAAGAGGTTTGTTGCCTTTACTGCGTGTCAATGTAAATTTAGCCTTATTATTCTAATGTTTAAAATAATATAGTGCAATTTGAATTCTAGAAATTATTATTTTTATATAGTTATAATAATATTTCTTATTTTATTTATCACATAATTATCATCTTTAAAGGGTACATAAAATGTCTGATATAAATTTTTTTGTGCTCAAGGTACCACCAATGATTGAATTTTATTTAGCTTCTACAAGGATTTTCTTAAAAAATTCTATATTGTATATACATTATTATATCATTATTGTCATTATTTTAATAGATGTCATTTTGTGTTTGATATAAAACATTTAATAATAAAAAAATAAATATTTTCAGAGTCAACCGGATGGTTGGGTCGCACGTTTAGGAGTTTTTGGACGCATGCATGAACTATCAATGTATAAACATACAGGAAATATTGGCAGTCTCGGAAATGCTGCAATTACTGCAAAATTGTTAGCTATGCTACTTAAAGTTGGCACTAACAGCGAGGAAAAGTTTGATTTGTTAGTATTTTAATATTTAAAAATACGGAAGGCGAGCAATACTTGTAGTATTGCTCGTCCGCCTTCTTCACTTATAAAACACCTATACAATTTTTCAATATCTTTTTTTAACCGTTTAATTCAATTTTGACGATGGTAAATTAAAGAAGTTTAAATTGCAATATTTGAAAATGACTTTGAAAATGTTCAAGATATAAACCTTTGTTAAACATTGCTATTAATGTATAATTTGTGATTAGTACAATTATTACATTTCATTTACAATGAAAATAAACAATTGAATTGCAACACGAGATAATTGCAACCATAAATTATTTTATTTATGCTTTGCTTTCAGAGATGTGCAGTTCACCACACTAAGTACTCTAGAACTCTTGGAGCTAACTTCAACCGCTGCTGCTATCGGGTTATGGGATCTGGTTCCATTATTCAGTATTTGTCATGGCCACCCCCATCTGATGCTATCCGCTATAAAATCTAGGAGCGACCTATGCCGCGGTGCAATAGTTTGCTTGTTGCGACACAGCTGTCTAGTGCCGATCCTGCTCGAAGAAAATGGACAGTGGTTTTTCGATTTTATAACGGAGAAATGCAATAAGTTCGATACAAAACTTTTAAAGGTAATGTAAACTTATAGCTAACTCGCACTGATACTTTATTGTTGACATGATGTAGCTTTTATTACTTTTCTTGATTATATTCCGTAACAGTCTCTGTACAGAGATTTGGCCTAATCCCGTGCTTGAGGTTTTTTTTTACGTGGTATGCCAAGCTGCAGCTATATTATGGTTGTAGTACGAACGGGGAAGGACAACGATCTCACAGATTATAAGCTTAAAATAGTGGCTTAACGCTACTGTGTTGCGTATGGCGAGTGTATAGGACCGGAGATATTCCGGAAATGAGGCATTCCATCTAAATCCTCAGGGGTGACAAGGCATCTGCATGTTTTGTCTTAATCGAGGATAAATGTAGATGTCTGTGGGCCACGGCATCCACTTACCACTATGGGTCACCCTTTTATTATAAATCTCGCACCGTCGACGCTGCTGCTGTATTTGATCTGTTTACAGTTGGGTTAGTTATATGCGCAATATAGTAATCGGTAAAATCTGATTTATTACACTAGATTAAAAATATTATTTTGTAAAAAGCAACTGTTTTACAGTTTTTGAAACATGTCTCCAATACTTTGTAGTAATGTATTACGTTCTAGTAATGTATTACGTACTTTAATATCTATTTAAAATAAAGAAATCTAATACATAATTAATTAATAAATAATAATTCATCATATTGGAAACATAGACGCCATCGTGTTTCGTGATACCGATAGAGAAGTTTTATTCATCCTCTAATAGTTGGCGATGCTTCAAAAGCGTTTATTTTTAAATAATAAATTCAAAAGATAAATAATTCGAAAAATGCATTTTCCTATGTTGTATTTGTATTTATAGAAGGCAAGAGAGAGAGAATCTTGGTGCAAGAGTTATTTTTTTAAAGAGGTTAGTTTTTAATTAGAGAGAAGAGAAGAGATTTTCTAATTTTTTATCCAATTTAATTATACGCCGCAAAGATGTTCGTGCTATCGTCATAATATCTAAATCTAAAGTCTTGCGTGTGGACAAGCTTGGATCTCGCACAGACACGTTTGCGCCACGTTCTTTTTACTCCTCCAGCTCCGTGCCGCCCTATTTGTTTTTGATTGATAGTCGTGCCGATTGCTTCGAAGTTTTTAACTGATAATTAAATTGATAATTAGGCGCTAGGTAATACTGTGCAGCGATGTAATGTTTCACACAATTCGCGCGTTGCTCTTCCGTGAAGCGATTCATTGTGACTAAGTTTCCAATTTTCAAGGAGCGAGAAGAAACTTCGCGGTAGTGGTCCACTTCCTTCCCCGCGCTCTGTTTTCCCGCTAGCACGATTATAAAAGTGCAAAATGTATGGTAATATGTGATATAGCAAGTTACTCTAATCGGATATTTCATTTTGAGGCGACCGTATCTAAACAAACAGACTATATCGAATATATGAAACTGAAACTTTTTAATTCAATATAGATTATAAATAATACTTATTGGAAGTCACTTTTTTATTTACCAATGGTTCAGAAAAAACCCATCAGGACTATTGTTTTTAAATAACAGCGTACAATCATATGTGTTACAATTAATAACACAAAACAAATTAGAAATAGCTTGGTAGTGATCATCCCTTCTGTTCACTTAGATATGGTCACCTATGTCACGCGCCGCCTTCTCGCGTGCCTTATCTTGTCAAAGAACTCGCCGCGACGTCAAAGGTCGCTGTGTGCGGCGTACTCCCGCAGGAGAATTTGACATTTTGAAACGAAGCTCCGTAGTAAAAGTTTCTTTGCTACTTAACGTGTGCTTATTAATTGTATTCGTATTTTATTACTATAACCATAAAAATAAATACAATTCTATTTTATTCTTAGAATGAAAAATATTTATTTACCAAACAAAGTAAAAAATAAAAGCAAAATAATAAATGCGCCTCCGGGTGTACCGACACTATCTTAGCAAACAGACTATACTTTTACAAACATTCAGTCCGCGCCATGCCACACAGTTGTGCTAATTTATTTAATAACCACGCGCGTACAACGCGATGCTCTTGAATTTTTAAGAAACTAACACCAGCGCTGGTATCCATCGCTCGTGTCCTACTTGACCACGTGGACGCCCTCAGACCACACAGAAAAGGAGTCTTACCACATAGAAAAATGTATTCTATACACCCAAATTCATTTCTGCTTTTAAAGTTTTTATAAATTTATTACTAAGTGTAATTTTTCCAAATACAAATTTCAGTGCCTGTGCTTGTGGATGAGCCCTCTACAAGACCAACTACGACCTGTCATGCGCGATTTGAAACAGGGAATAACATCAGTTTACGTATGTATCATTACTGCAATTAATAGTGAATTTCGATACAGGGGACTTAAGGTAGTCGATTATTGAACTCGCTTCGCTCGTGCGCTAACTTTACTCGTTTTAATAATCGGTTACTTAAGTTTCGTGTACCGTACATTATTTTATATTACAATTGACTTAAACCCACATTTTTAATTTCAAAATTGTAGAAAACTAAATTATTATAAAGACAATCGTGTCTAAAGATTTAATTCAACGTGGCCAAAGGAGCAACGAGACTCGATTTACAAAAGTTTTGTATGATCCCGATGTTGGCTTATATGCAAATGATTTATCAAACCTGAATTCACAACGGTCTTATTTTTTAGCAATTGTAATGTGACAGTAAATGGTAGTAATAGTAATTATTTTTTTAATAATTGTACTTTAAAAAATACAGTTCAAGCTAAAAATGTACAAAAATTTTAAATGACTATGTCAAAAACTTTTTTATATTTCTTAATCAAATGATTTAATGTTTTGTTTGTAATTTAAAATGTTCTAATAGATGTTACTAATTAAAGTTCTATTGTTCTGTGTTTATTATTGTTTCGATAAATGTTAAATCTTTTTAACATTATAAAATATTATAAATTTTATGCATGGCATAAGTAAGTTATCGAAAAGTTGAGTCCCGCATGAGCGTCACTTAACGTTGTTTTAAGTCACTATGTACTAAAAAATTAATATTTTGGTATGTTCGTCCGGAAATAATAAACAATAAAATAATATATAATATGCATTTTACTAGCCGTGGTAGTTCAGATGGTTAGCGCTCGCTGTAAATTTCATAGCACCCGAGCAAACCGGGTTCGATCCCCGCCGACACCAATGAGATTGTTAATTGCAATTTTAAGTGCTGATAATTTAAGTTTTAAGTTCTGATATTACCACGTGCTCTACGGTGCAGGAAAACATCGTGGGGAAACCGGCATGTCTGAGAAATAAGAAAAAAAAATCTAAATCATGTGAAGTTCGCCAACACGCATTGGGGCCGCGCGGTGGACACTTCCTTGCTCTAAAACCAGCTGTGGGACGTATATAGGCTGTAACTTTTACTATACACATCATTGCGATTATTTGTTAATTCGTTTCAGTGTTAATAATTAACTTTGAACTTATATAATATAGATAATTAATAAAAAATATACAGGTACAACTCTTAATTGAATTTTTAATACCAATTTATGAATAAATACAACTATTTATTGATAAAAATAACGGAAAATTCGTAGTATTAAAAATATAAATATACCGGATCATAAGAAGTGTTTTAAATGAAATTACAAAACTCAATCCTAGTGTTATGTTATATAAACCAGCATGTATATACAGGGACAACTTTTAATTGAATTTTTAATACCAATTTATGAATAAATACAACTATTTATTGATAAAAATCACGGAAAATTCGTAGTATTAAAAATATAAATATAACGGATCATAAGAAGTGTTTTAAATGGAATTACAAAACTCAATCCTAGTGTTATGTTATATAAACCAGCATGTATCATCATCATCATCATCAATGATGATTATGATGATGATGATACAGGGACAACTCTTAATTGAATTTTTAATACCAATTTATGAATAAATACAATTATTTATTGATAAATATAACGGAAAATTTCGTAGTATTAAAAATATAAACATAACGGATCATAAGAAGTGTTTTTAAATGGAATTACAAAACTCAATCCTAGTGTTATGTTATACGTAAACCTTTATGCTTTATTTTTAGACTACAAGGATGCTTCAATTTATAAAAACTTACATGCACGTTTTGTGCGCTCTTGAAACGAGAATACCTTGCCCCGAGATTCACGTAGAGGTGAAGATGAAAGCAGAAACTTGGAAAAATCAGTACACACCAAAAAGAGCGCTTTCCTGCGGCTTGGGGCACTGGGCAATCGTTGACGACGGCAACGCTAAAATAATGATGACAAATACTCCTGTAAATACGGAAATGATAGGGAGAGTTATTGATGTTGCTTGTGGGAGGCATCATACCTTACTGTTGACTGAGAATGGTGTAAGTATTTTTCAAAAAAAATCTTTTTAATCATTAACACTATTTTTCTACATATGTATTATTTTATAAGTGATGACCAGTGATCGGATAATCGGATGCATATTTACCTAAAGTTCATTTTTGGCTCGGAAATTATGGAAGCGGCTTCTTAAAACATATTTGTTAAAATATACGTTAAATAATCTGTATCATGGTGAAGAAACGTCTTCTATAATATGTGATATTTATTTAAAAAAAAAACAGGGGGATTACATAATTATTATTTAATTCCATTCCATTCCATAACCAACACCTACACTTTAGGTAAATATGCATCCGATTATCCGATCACTAGTGATGACGTTTGGATCTGAACTTACACTGCCAGCCTTGTGATATTAAGGTTGCTCAGCGAGCTATAACAGAGCTATGCTTCGATTTTCTCTGCGTCGTAGAATCTTTAATGGTGATGACCGCAAGAGAACTACAGCAATTGACATAACCCTTTGGATTAATAAGGTGAATTGGCAAGGGGCCGGCCATATAGCTCGACGAACCGTCAACCTTGGGGCATAAACGATCCAGAGTCGAGTACCTGTAAACAGAGTGTAGGTCGACGTTACTAGTTGAAGTGACGATTTGGTGAGACATGTAAGAAGTCGATGGATGCAGGTGGCTCAGTAATGTGTTTTGTGGTTTTTTTAGGGGGAGCTTATGTTTAGCAGTGGACTTGAAAGGGCTGTATAGATGATGATGACTTATAATTTGTGAGTTTTGTATTAATTGTAGGTTAAAAATAATTGTTATTTAGTTATTTTATTTATTATATAATATAGTTTATTAGTTTATTTATTTAAATTATCTTGTGTCCTTTAATATAAAACCCATAGTGTAAGTGATGGTCTGAAACACAGGTACTCAACCTAGTTCGGGCAGGTAGCTAATATTATAAACTTGAGTTTTCAATTTTTCTTTTGTAGATTCTCGTTATTAAGCTACACATAGTTTTAATTTTTATTATTGCATTTTATTTTTATAAGACTTATTGTTACTTTCTATAATTCTCTATGTAAAGTAATAATAGTAATAGTAGTAGCTGCCGCTTTTGACTGATATTCATTTGTCATTCTATAATTTGTACTTACCAAGAGGAATAGAGTCGAGCTGCAGCTATATTTATGGTGGTAGCACGAATGGGTCGGCTCGGCCTCCACGGTCTCGCAGAATACCAGCGCAAAATAGCAAACTTAATGATGCTGTGTTTCGTATGGTTAGTGTAGAGAACCGGGGACCCTTTTTACTGGATACGCGGCATTCCGTCTTAGTCCTCAGGGATGACATATTGATTCTTAATCAAGGATAAATGTAGATATCTATGGGGTACAGTATCCACTTATCATTAGGTGGACTGTGTGTTCATTTGTCGCCATTGTTTTTTAAACGAAACAATTTTTATGAATTTTATCATGTTTAATTCTCGACGTGTCACCGGGGGGACTGAGGTGTTTGACGTCCCGATATCATAGTTAGCCCTGCTACCTTCTTTTAAAAATTAGTGTTCGCGTAAATATAAGAAATCGTAATGTGAGCCACTATTTTATATAAAAAATCGACCAAATTGGTAGATTCTAGAATGAGAAACGAACAAGATACGTGACGTCACACCTAGGGCGGTACTCAGTCGTGTGTGGTGGGGGGCAGGTGTACAGCGCGGGCGACAACTCGTTCGGGCAGCTGGGCGTGGGGCGCGCGTGGGCGGGCGCGGGCGGCGAGGCGGCCAGCAGCGCGGGCGCGCCGCAGCACGTGTCGCAGCGCTGGAGCGCGCCGCTGCTGGCCGTCGCCGCGGGACACTACCACTCGGCCGCGCTCGACCGCGGCGGCAGGCTCTACACCTGGGGGTGCGTATACTATACACCTCGCATGATCAAACATATTTGCTTATTTAACTTCGTATACTCTATACTCGATAAAAGAGGAGCAGGTGTATAATGAAGTACAGAAAACCGTACATAACGAGGGGTGATCCAAAAGTAATGATAATAATCGGTCATTTCCAGTGCACATAAAAATAAAAAAAACATTTGCTTGCTTTTGTATCCATTAGATCAGCATAAAAAAATCATATAAATAAAGGGAGGTACACCCGCAAATAGTAGCCTATTGTAGAAATTGAATACCAGTCATCGAACAGATAACATCAAAATGGAGAAAAATTAAATTAGAGCTGTCATCAAGTACCTTTGTTAAATAAAAATGTCTATCAAAGACATACACAGCGACTTGGTGGAAACATTGGGACACTCTGCTCCTCCATATTCCAGAGTTGTATGCTGGGCCAAGGAATTGAATCTGGGCAGAATATTCACGGAAGATGAACATTGCGAAGGATGCCCATCCACATCTCTTACTGAAGATAACGTGAAAAAAGTCGAAGATGTCGTATTGGTAGATCGAAGAGTAACCACCAGGCATATACATAGTTGAGGTTACGGGGATCTCATATCAAAGAATCAGTTCAAAGTATCCTTGCGGATGAATTGCATACGAAAAAGGTTTCTGCGCATTGGGTACGGCGGGAAAGGTTATGGCGTCCGGTTTTGGGGACGTTGAAGGAATAATTATGGTGGAATATTTAGAACAGCGAGTTACTATTTCGGGCTCTTACTACGAAGGCCGAATAAGAAGATTGCGGGAGACTATTAAGGAGAAAAGACGCGGCAAACTGCGGGCTAGAGTGCTGTTTCACTAAGACAACGCTCCGGCTCGCAAGGCTGCAGTTGCGATAGCTGCCATTCAAGAAACGAGGTGTGAACTGCACACATACCTGCCCTATTCACTTGATCTAGCTCCCAGTGTGTTCTATCTAAACAAAAAAGTAAAAGAATATCGATATATCTTTTATAGAATAAAGTTGACAAACGAGCACGCAGTACACCTTATGGTAAATGGATGCTGTAGACCACAGCATATCATCTATATCTAAGTTGAAATGCCTCGTTTTCAGTCAAAAGTGTCCATTCCTACCATAGTATTGTTACGAGCTTAGGGTTCATGACAATAAAAACTGCCGATTAAATTACCAAAATTGACACTTTAATTACCGAACACCAATAAAACTTAAAACATACTTAGGTCATAAGTTCTGTCAAAAACTTTTTATAAAGTTAATGATACACTTTTTGATAATTTTGTATATAGAAATTATAAATGAAATGAAAGGTAATTTAATTTAGAATAAAATTTTATTTACATTATTCAAAATTTTCCCCTATTTTCAATACACACCCTTAATCGGCGCGGCCAATCATCAATCGCAGCACGCACCACACTCATATCTATTTCAGCCGCTGATTTAGCCAATGATGCTCGGAGAAATTCCAAATTCAGATGAGGTTTAGCGCAGAATTTCTCCTCCAAATGTTGCCATATCTTAAAATGCAGTGAGCGTAAATCTGGACTAGAAGAGAGCCAGTCTTCATGTCCGATAAAGTCAATTCCATGGGCGGTCAACCAGTTTTGCGCGCTTCGTGCCCTATGAGCTGGTGCAGAGTCCTTTTGGAATATCCAATGTCTGTTTTTGAACATTGTTTGAGAAAGAAGTTCCACTATTTTTATTAGGACGGTATTTTCCTACACCTCGGCACTGGTTTTTACACCTTTTGCACAGAAAAACACCTCAGTTAAGCCTGAATGTGAGACTCCAAGCCAAACCATGAGTGACGAAGGATAATGTGCTCGTTGAACCCTCGGACTACGCGCGCTGGCTTCTTCACTGGTGTGCGCATACACCTTATCATTTTGTTTATTATAACTTTCTTCGATGTTAAAAAATTTTTCATCCGAAAATTTCGCGGTGTTTTTTCCGAGTACCGCCGTAACAAAGCGCGGGATCTATCATGCCAAATTTTTTCAAACGCTCGTTCAAAAATGTCTGGTCTTCTTACGATAGGCTCGTAGTCCTATGTCTTCCTTAATCACTCTTTTGACCGTGGTTCTGCTTAGGCCCATCTGAAGAGCTAAGATTTTTTTGTTTACGAACAGGATTTCGTTGGATTCGCGCCTCCACTGTTTTGATGATCGCGGGTGTCCTAACTGTACGAGGTCGGTCGATCCTCTTACGAGCTTCGAAGCTTGAATCTTCAGTAAATCGTTTGATAGTGCGATAAACAAATCGTAGGGTTATTTTCAATTTTTGTAGAATATTGAAAATCTCTTTTGGCGCGTAACCACAGCGGTGCTTCTTCTTTCTTCGACCACTCCATATTTGAAAATGAATTAATATTAATGTTTTTTTTATTTTCGGTAAGGGCAAATGTTATATTTTTAAAATTGGTGAAGTTCATCTAGCCAGTATTCATAAATTTTAAATAATAATGTTTTGACAGCACTTATGAACCGACTAAGTACTAATAACTAATCACACTTAACACGTTCACGCTATTTCGCTCCGAAGTCTTCGCTTGTTTTGCCAATACAATACTGACTCGGTCGCATCCCATACTGGATTTATATATGATCTTTTCTAGATAAAACATGTTCGAGTAGAATGTCGAAATTTCTAGCATGGGATTTTCTATAAATCTCTCCTAGTTCTGCTACTCGATACTAGATGACGCTAGTGGCATTAATTGTGATGAGCAACAGTATCAATATTGTGATTCCAATATTACACTATCTTGAGATATACGAATTACACGTCGATCTGGATTGTTCACACTACTTCATCCCTTATTACCACGTAGTACAAGCGATTAGTGTACGCAGAACTGATACCATCGCATTCTCTACAATGATAGAGACCCAGCAGCGACTTACCGACTAACGTTGATAATTAATATTTTAAACCATATAAGTAAGGAAAGTATGTGACGTGTTACCTTTATACGTGGGAGATCTATGCTGCTGCTATATTATGGCTGTAGCGCGAATGAGTATCCTCAAACAGGGAAGGATCACGCTCTCACAGAATACTAACGGGAAATAGCAACTTAATGCTTTATATTAATGCTTAATTTCGTATAGTGTGTGTACCGGAGCCTCTTTTTATTGGAAATTATGAATTTCATCTTAGTCCTCAGGGATGACAGCGCATCATTATATTTATTATTAATCAAGAATAGATGTAGTTGCCCATGGGCCACAATATCCACTTAAAATCAGGGGGACTGTGTTCTCATTTGTCACTGTCATTCTATAAATACCCACCCACCGTTGACACTGAAAATTCTTAGAAAATCAAAAACTGGACAAATTAGCATGATATTAGTTTTATTATATTGTTACGAGCTTGAGGTTCGTGACAATAAAAACTGCCGATTGAATTACCAAAATTGACACTTTAATTACCGAACACCAATTACAACTTATAACACACTAATAATTAATCACAATGATCACTTAGTTCGCAGTTATATCGCTTCAAAGTATTCGCTTGAAATGCCAATTCCATACTGACCGGTCGCGGTCCACAACGGCTTTTGCTTTTCCATTGAAACATCTAGAATATTCGAGCACATACCGGTCCCGACCGACTAGGTGTAGAAAGATATAGTATGGAATTTTCTAGAATTATTAGTTCTACTATTCGATACTAGATGGCGCTAGTGCCATGTACCAGGCATTAATTATGGCGCGCAACAATATCTTTTCAAAATAGTGTCCATTTACGTACATCGCTGCATCCGATGCAACCACTGAGAAAATCATTTTGCCCACTCGTCCTTAGGTGTCTCTTCGACAACATTTTGGAACGTAGCAAGCAACTGCTTCCTCGACGTACATAAATCGGTTTCCTCGAAGTTTTTCTTTTATTTTTGAAAATAAATAAAAATCTCAAGGTGAAATCGCGAGGTCGTGGCTATAGAGGCCGGGTGACCCAGTAATTCCACGTCTGACGTCGCCAAGTAGTCGATTGTTTGCTTGGCGGTGTGCGATGAGGCGTTGTCATGGTGAAGGAGGATCCTACTGCGAGGTGTTTCCTTCCGAACTTTTTCCAAACAAGTAGCAAACAATTGTTTGTGTACCACTACAGTAACTGTTTTTCGATCCTCTAAAATTGTTGCGTAATGACCTGTCCTTCCGAAGAACGAGGCCACCATCTTTTTTCCCACGCTTCGACCTCTCTTCACTTTAGTTGACAACTCCTCGGAAGGAAACACCCAGACAACAGACTGTCTCTTAGTTTCAGCATCATAACAATAAATCCAGCTCTCGTCATCCGTAAGTATTCGACATACACAGCATTTGAGTCACCTCCGTTAAATCTTTAATACCATTTCACGACACCAATCAACACGAAGTAGTTTTTGGGCCTCTGTCAAATTATGAGGTATTCATCGGGCACAAAGCTTCCTGACCGCTAAATGTTCATGGAGGATTTTGTGCACTTGACTCATATCGATGCCTGAGCTTGTCCGAATCTGCTGATAAGTCACTATTTTTTCCGTCTCTATCTTACGCGCACAACACTGATGTTATATTGAGTCGTCAATGTAGAAGACCGTCCCTCACGCAGATCGTCGGTGAGATTAGTGCGACCACGTTTAAACTCATTAAACCAGTTGTAAATGAAGTCTATCATAACTTTTTTTTTGACTTAAATTGAAAGTATAAAAAATTATTGTACGAAAATTTTCTCCGTTATATTCTGCTAGTGAATTTTCCGCTAAATCACAAATTAATAAAAAACATATGTAACAATAATATTGTCAAAGGTTCCATTCAAAATTTGAACTTATTTTTTATTATTCGTACAAGTGGCCAGTTCTAAAAACTTTCAGTGTCGCCCTCGTAAAAACCAGTGGAACACAAGTTCTTGTTAAAAATAATTATTAATATTTTAGATGGGGTGTCCATGGTCAACTCTGTCTGGGCACTATTGATGACCACTGCACACCGCAACTGGTTACAAAATTTCTAGGAAGAAAAGTAAGTTAATTTCATGTCAATTTTTCAATTTTCTTTATTTTCATCAAGGATGGTAGACTCTGCCGATTTGAACCAGGTGTAATCTTCTGGCTCTCAGTAAATGCGTAGCCTCCCCCGTACCTGCCGTAGCCGACGTGGAGTTCAAAGTGGAAGAAGGTTGTTTGTATATTGATGCACCACTAGCCTTGTCCTCCGCGACTCTTGCGGGGCCGTACTGCTGACACGGCGGTGTATGTAGGTAATGTAGGGTAGGATGTGTCGGTATCATGATGTGCCAAAACCAAAAGAAAATTATGATTTGTTCCTTTTTTTATAGGAGAGAGGCAAACGAGCATATGGCTCACCTGATGGTAGGTGATTACCACCGCCCATAAACAGCTGCAACACCAGAGGAATTACAGATCCGTTGCCAGCCTTTTAAAAAGGAGTATGCTCTTTTCTTGAGGGTCCCTAAGTCGTACCGGTCTAGAAAAATCTCTGGTGGTAGTCGATTTCACAAGGAAGTTGTGCGAGGAAGAAAACTTCTTTTAAAACGCACAGTGGTGAACCGCTAGTCATCCAGATGGTATGGATGGTGTCGCGATATGCAATGGTAAAATTGTGCGGCTGATATAATTCCTAACAGTTCCTCAGATCACTCCCCGTGATAAATGCGATAAAATACGCAAAGAAATGCTACATCTCTTCGCAGTGCCGACCATAAAGAGCTCGGTCGCCGACAATTCGAACAGCTCTCCGCTGGATGCGATCTGGAATGGAAGGAGCTGGTACTGGGGATCCTCTGTATTGCGGATTCTAATTCCGTACGGAACAAGTATTTGTATGACCTATAAATGATTGTTCCACGTCTGGATGTTTGTCCTTGTGAAATTTATGTATGTAATCTGCCCCCACGATACAGGAGAAAATTCTAGTGTGGAGATAACGTTTTCTTAAAATAAAGAAAAGAATAAAAAGCACTGAAAAAGGAGGTTACATCACTGGTACAATTCAGCGTTAAAATAAAATGCTACAGTTAAATCTCAAGTTGCCATATCAAAAAAAAAATATGTCAATTAGTTATTAAATTTTCATTCAAAACATACCTCGAAAAACATTACGTTGTCTGTGTTAATCGTAATTTTATACCTGTAACAACTCTGACGGTAAAAACTTCCATTGGTAAAGTTGACAGACTTGACTCAATATAACACAATTAAATGATTGCATGCAGGTGCTGAGCGTGGCGTGCGGTGCGTGCCACACGGCGGTGCTGATGAAGAACGGCGAGGTGTGGGCGAGCGGCGCCGGCGTGTTCGGGCAGCTGGGCAGCGGCGCGCGCGACAAGAGTGCCGTGCCGCAGCGTGTGCTGCTGCACGAGCCCGTGCGCCACCTCGCCGCCGGCTACTTCCACACCGTGAGTGTGCACACGACACGATACTAGCCCGCGCCGCCTCGCCGCCGGCTACTTCCACACCGTGAGTGTGCACATGACACGACACTAGCCCGCGCGCCGCCTCGCCGCCGGCTACTTCCACACCGTGAGTGTGCACACGACACGATACTAGCCCGCCTCGCCGCCGGCTACTTCCACACCGTGAGTGTGCACACGACACAACACGAGCCCGCGCGCCGCCTCGCTGCCGGCTACTTCCACACCGTGAGTGTGCACACGACACGACACTAGCCCGCGCGCCGCCTCGCCGCCGGCTACTTCCACATCGTGAGTGTGCACACGACACGATACTAGCCCGCCTCGCCGCCGGCTACTTCCACACCGTGAGTGTGCACACGACATGACACTATCCCGCGCACCGCCTCGCCGCCGGCTACTTCCACACCGTGAGTCTGCACATGACACGACACTATCCCGCGCACCGCCTCGCCGCCGGCTACCTCCACATCGTGAGTGTGCACACGACACGATACTAGCCCGCCTCGCCGCCGGCTACTTCCACACCGTGAGTGTGCACATGACACGACACTATCCCGCGCACCGCCTCGCCGCCGGCTACCTCCACATCGTGAGTGTGCACACGACACGATACTAGCCCGCCTCGCCGCCGTCTACTTCCACACCGTGAGTGTGCACACGACATGACACTATCCCGCGCACCGCCTCGCCGCCGGCTACTTCCACACCGTGAGTGTGCACATGACACGACACTATCCCGCGCACCGCCTCGCCGCCGGCTACTTTCACATCGTGAGTGTGCACACGACACGATACTAGCCCGCCTCACCGCCGGCTACTTCCACACCGTGAGTGTGCACACGACATGACACTATCCCGCGCACCGCCTCGCCGCCGGCTACATCCACACCGTGAGTGTGCACATGACACGACACTATCCCGCGCACCGCCTCGCCGCCGGCTACTTCCACACCGTGAGACCGGGACCAGGATGGGACCACGCTCTCACAATACCAGCGTGAATTAACACTTTTACACTGTTTCGCATGGTGATTGTAGAGGACCGAAGACCCTTTTTATTGGAAAAGGCATTCTATCTTAGTTCTTACGGGTTACAACGCATCTGCATTTTGATTCGTAATCGATGACAGATGAAGATGTCTGTGGGCCGCAGCAACCACTTACCATCAGGTGGACTGTGTGCTCGTCTGTAACACTTATCCTAAAAATATTGAGTACACGCAATGAGAGCCTTTTACGTTCACCAGATGTCGCTAGTCGGTAATAGTACCGTAGGTTAAATTTATTTATTACGTTAATAGTATCATAGGGTAAACTTATTACGCAGTTGGTTTTATCATTGAAAAGTGCATTTTAAATAAAAGTTTTTCTATTTCTAGTGTATAAACTAGTTTTCTAATCTAATTAATATAAAATAAGAAACATTCATTTCTTCACTTTTAAAATGTGTTATATATTTCCCGTCATAATTATTTAAGTGGCTATGCCCTAGTGGCAGAAAAAGTCGTTGATGCCCTCAGTGAGTGTCGTGACATTAGATAATGGTTGCAGTTGGTGGTGACAGCGAAGGGCCAGGTGTGGTGCTGGGGCGCCAGCCCGCAGCAGGTGCGCGCCAGCCAGGCGCGGCGCGCCGCTTCGCCCGCGGCCTCCCCCTCCGCCGCCACGCCCTCCCCCTCCCCCTGCCCGCCCGCGCCAGACCCGCACCTCCTACCGCAGCTCGTCGACACCCGCAACGTGCGCGGACGCATCGAGCACGTACGTACGCGCTCACATATTCTTTTAATACAGCTCGTTCTATACTATTTTATTTTATAACAATACAAGAACAATTAGAAATAAGATTACAAACATCTTTAATTTAGTATGGTCAGCCGCCATTTAAACTTAATTCTAACACGACTAGTGTGGAGCCCTTTTCGGGACGGCTATGAATTGCACATATTGCGACATCAACAGTATGGATGACTTTTTAAAGTGAAGACTTTTTTAGCATCGTTTACTTAACGTAAACTTAACGAAACGAAAAAGTGACTCCAAATTAAAAAAGCGGTCTAGGTGCGACCCGAAAGGTCACACAACTAACTTCCTAGTGGAAAGAATAAAAAAATATCATGTTTTAAGACTTGACCGATCTTGCTCAAAATTTAATGATAGACCTCATTTTCAGTTGCATAATTATGCGTTAAATAAAACTATGAAACTAAAGACCTCATTTTCAGTTGCATAATTATGCGTTAAATAAAACTATGAAACTAAAGACCTCATTTTCAGTTGCATAATTATGCGTTAAATAAAACTATGAAACTAAAACATGTCAATATCACTCTTTGTTCTCGAGATACACAAGGCGAAAATTGAATCCGACCATACGTACATACATACATGTGCACACACGGACATCCTCTTAACAACCATACTATTCGACTCTTAAAAGACCTTGAAACGTGGAGATATGTTAATATTTCCAATTTGAAAAATCGGACCCATTACAATAACTTCCCACTGGGAAGTTAATAAACAAGTTTACGTAACCTAAAGCGCTCGCCTTGAAATAACAATGCCAGATCTTGCCCCACCTTGTAAAAAAAGGTAAAGGTATGTAAAATAATCTTATAAATATTAGAATTTTTTGTAGTAAGTCATTATTTTGTACAATGTGCGGTAAAATATTCATAAATTCCAATAACATCTGCGATAAGTAAATACGTACGCTTTTAGTACCTGTGTAATATCTAGGTACTTAGTTTAAAATACATAAATCTTTGTCACATAAAAATATTATTTACCGATTTCTATTATGATTTTTTATAAACTCAATTATACGTCGAAAATAATCATGAATAGTTACTGAATAAATGTAATATTGCAAGTTTAAATTATTAATTTTCATGCAATTGCTATCTACAATATAAACTCAGTTTTCAACATGAAGATCATTACGACAGGTATGTTTAGTTAATTAGCTATTTACATAATTGATTTAGTTGAGTACTCTCGCTGTCGTAATTGATGTGCATATATTATGTATATTTATAAAACTGTTAATATTCACACCTCTTTATTAACATATCATAATATGTATCTAAATAATTTACCTATAAACAATTACTTTTGTCTTCGACCGAAATATGTTCTAATGTCTGTTTATAATTTTTAGCTGCAATCCCAATCTGTGAAGAGTGCTCATTGCTTCTTATCGACTATAGTAGAAATGAGAGCAAAATGCTCAAGACCAGTTGCGTCACACACACATTTGTCTAGGATTGGATGGACCAACATTGACAACGTATATTGTGTTGTCATAGACATGGACAATGTATATGTCGCTTGGTAATTTTTGTCTTTCCACTGTCGATATTTTATTAGCACCTAATAATTTATGACAATGAACTGCAATTCTATTATAAAACATAAGGTAAATTTGATTAATAAAGTTTAATTTTAAAAAATCGCAAGTACTAGAGAGCAGCAAAAAACACGCATACGGCATTCGTGTACGCCACATATTTAGGTGGGACAAAGTTCTATTAAGAACCTGGCGTTGTTATTTCATGCTCAAGCTACGGAGCTTGATACCAATGAAAATTGTGAATTGTAAAAACAGGCGATTTGTTTTTCAAAGAAAGTTTTTCAGCACGCTAAATCTCGTAACACGTTACATTACATGTAGTTCGTTGGCTAGACTGCGTGCTATATAAGAACATTATTTCGTAATAAGTCGCATTTTAGACTAAAATAAAATAAAGCAGTAAAGAAAAACTAGTAAACACTTAATAAACTTTTAATACGTGGTAGAGCCATGCTGCAGTTATATTAGTAGTATAGTTGTAGCGCGAATGGGTCGGCTCGACCGGGGAAGGACCACGCTCTCACAGAATACCAGCGTGAAATAGTAGCTTAATGCTGCTGTGTTTCGTATGGTGAGTGTAGAGAACCGGAGACCCTTTTTACTGGAAACGAGGCATTCCATCTTAGTCCTCACGGGTGACAACGCATCTGCATTTTGATTCGTAATCGAGGATGGATGTGGATGTCTATGGGCCACAGCAACCACTTACCATCAGGTGGACTGTGTGCTCGTTTGTCACCCTATCCTATTAAAAAAAAAAAAAAAAAAAAAAAAAAACTCGTTCATACCTTTTAGGCTTACGACTGTCTGTAATCGATGAAAACGTTATTTTAACCTTAATGTAAATTATAAATCAATCAAAAGCTTATTTAAGGGCATTTTGACTGTAAACAAAAACTATAATTTATAGGACTTATGTAACCTATAACTTTGTTTTCATTATATATTTATTTCTAGTCATGGTTTGCCAGTCATTCCGTATATGACAAATGCATAAAAATAATACCAATACATAAATACATACATCATCATAATAATACAGTACATAATATATTAAAACTACAATTTACCATTTATATGATGCAAAGTCATCAAACGACTTCAAAAAAGAAGGTGGTTCTCAACTCGACTTTATTTTTTATGGGTTAGCCCTTAATTTTTTTCCGATTGTTTTTTTTTTTATTTGAAAGCTGTTGCTTCTCACGTGGTTCCATGTAAATTTTAAGTAAGATTTAACCAGTCGTTTTTGAGTTATTCTTAATAATGCGTATTTAATTGACTTCGACTACAATGATGTTCTTATTTTGTTTTTATTGAAGTGATGATGTTCTTATTTTATTTATATTGAAGAAGTCTGTTGTATAAAATTTTTAATTTTACCACTTGTTTTGTACATCAGTTTGTACTGTTTGTTCAAAAAATAGTCATATATACTAATCTCTTACATCGGTCTTTGGCGTTTTTGAGGTATAATAAAGAAATTGTTGATGAATCCAATTAAGTGAGATGGAAAGCTAGTCTTCTAGCTAGTATGTTTAGATGAAAAACGTGAATCAAAAATATATTTTTGTAGCATAATATGCTGATGGTTGTATGTAGAGCGTAGGTAATAGGTTTGCATCATCTACTACTCAACTGTTGAGCAATTAAGCCATGTTTACAACATTTTGTGAAACTGGTGAAACATTACGTTCAACGTCGCTTGTGCAATCTAAAGATCCAACATACGTATTTATCTTTAATTATATTATTACATCATTACCTTCCTCTTTTTATTTAATGAAAAGAATCATATTCTTTTTATTTATATTTAATAAATCGTGGTGTTTCTGTGACATGGAATGCTTAGTGTACAATGCTGGTTGTTTACAACCAGTATTGTAGACTCAGGCATGATATTTAGAATGTTATTTTGTATAAAATACAATTGTTATTTCTTAGATTAAAATTATTTTATTTAAAAAATTATATTTAAAAAATTCGAGAGTTGACCTTTCGAATTTTTTAGTGAAGGTGGAAATGAAGGCCACATAGTAGGTGCATCCGATGGGCGGAATTAGGGGAGATCAGAGGCGCTTATGAAAACTATGGTGTTTGAGCAGACGGTATAACATTACATAATATTTTTTTTGCAGCTGGCAGCTGGTTGGCACCATTCGTGTATAGTTGATCACTTGGGAAACGTTTATACCTGGGGCTTGAACTTTGATGGACAATTGGGTAAATGTTTTCTTAATATGTCGGCAATTTAGTGATGGGGTTGTTGAAACTCTCATTAATAAGTCATATTATTTGAACTCGCTTCTTTTAGCAGTATCCAAATTTATAATTATTAAATAAATAATTGGATTTTTATTATTAAAAATATACAAAGATGTACATTTTGAAGACAAAAAAGTATGACATCATTAATACCACTAGTATTTCCATACTTTCTGTAGAAGTTTCCTATTAATGTCTTGTAAAATATAATAATTTTATTCACATGAGTGCTAATTGAAAATTTTGTTGAGTAATTTGTTTTGTAAAATGTTTATTTAGTTGTATCACGGTTAATTAACTATATAATAGTCAAGTTCACGCTTTTGTTTAGTTTATTTTCTTTACTTAACAGCATAATATATAACTGCATACTTTTAAGTATTATTTTTTATACCGATTAAAATCCCTGAAGCAGAAATAAAAGAAATGCATTGCCACAAGAAAAACAATTAATAATGTTTATAATTTTTGTGGGAAATATTACAATATCTCATTTTCAAAACTGTAACTTAACTTTTACACATGACGCTACCTACGCAACAGTGACTGTGCCCACTTCACTCGAGCGCATTTAAGTGCGCGTTCTGTACCCTATTTTATATGGACCTACTTAACATAACATTAGATACAAAATATTATATGAATTAAAATTACTATTATCCCATTTTAATCATCCCATAATTGGGTATAATACAATTATTAATGTCATATTTTATAATATACTACGTGCTCGTCAGTGAAGATTCATCATGAGGAAACCTGCATGTCTAAGATAAAAAAATATTTCGAAGACGTGAAGTCTGCCAACATGCCTTATTGAGACTGCGCGATAGACACCTCCTTGGCTTAAAACCCTCTCAGAAATGAGCGGCGGCCTATACCCAGAAGTAGGACATATATAGGCTTTAACTTTACTATTTTACAATATAGTAGAAGTAAATAGTTTTTTATATTTTTTATATATAGGTTAGGGTGACAAACGAGCACACAGTCCACCTGATGGTAAGTGGTTGCTGTGGCCCATAGACATCTACATCTGTCCTCGATTACGAATCAAAATGTAGATGCGTTGTCATCCGTGAGGACTTAGGTGGAATGCCTCGTTTTCAGTAAAAAGGGTCTCCGGTTCTCTACACTCACCATACGAAACACAGGGGCATTAGGCTACTATTTGACGCTGGTATTCTGTCAGAGCGTGGTCCTTCCCCGGTCGAGCCGACATTCGTGCTACAACTATACTACTAATATAGCTGCAGCTTGGCTCTACCACGTATAAAATAGTAAGCAATGTCAGTAATATAATTTAATATTTAACAGAATGAAATTAAATTACAGGAAGTGGTGATAGAAAACAAGTTGTAATCCCAACAGAAGTTAGGATCCGACCGGAATCTCAAGCAGATAACGCGAAAGCTAATCCTCGAACACCCGAAAGTGAGGACTTCAATGTATGCACTAAGGCTCTGGTTGCTTGCGGTGGAGACTTTACAATTTACATCGACGACGACGGAAGAATTTACGCTACAGGGAATATGAATCTGCATGTAAGGAAAAACAACATGATTATTATTTTTTCAAGCCCATAGCATCATTACACAAATCCGCTGCTGAAAATAGGCCTCCTCCAAGGAATACCACAAAGCACGGCTACTACTTACCACTTATCGTCGCGTCTTGACTTAGGTTTGAGATTTTCCCTTTTTTTTCAAGTTCCCTTTTGTGAGAAAATCTATTATTTCGAGCCCTTTTTTAGTATTTTTTAAAAATACGAAAATTTTATTGCACTCATGATTTTTCATTCTAATAACCAGTTCAGTTTTTTCTATTATGACGGTAAGATCAAAAAATATTCTTCATATTTTATCAGTATATTAAATATAACTTCCAAAACACACAATTTCCAAAAAAAAAAAAATACCGGTCATCCAGGTACTATACAATATACAACACGTAACATAATTAACGCACTTTGAGAAAGTAGTTTGTTCAGAATCGTTTACTGAATCGATTCCTATCATTTTTAATATAGGTAATTTTTCTATCCCAAAAATAATTAAAACTACGTAAATTACAGTCACACTAAATCTGTACAGTCAAAACAAACTGAAGTGGACCGTAACTTAAGGCAATAAAACTTTTAAGAGTGCAGTTTTATTTGTATTCCTAATTCTTCTGAATTGTATTACTAATTCTGTCATTCAATAAAATAAAAAATAAAAATAAATTTATTTTGTCTTTGCATTCGTGGAATTTGTACTGTGACCACAACATAACTAATTTGATAAATAATCAGTGCATAAAAAAATGTTTAACTAAATATTCAGTATATGTATAATGTTTATAACATAATATACTAATTGGGGTGTCTGAGGGTGTGCGTTAATTACGTTACATATTGTATATATAAATCTTCCTTCAATTCTATATGAATTGGATTGCGTTCGGAACACAAGATCTAGAACACTAAAATGTACAAAAATTTACTTATCTTTTTATTTCGATGTTATCTTTATATTCCTGGTAGAATTGGCCGACGAATAAGAAAAATATAACTCAGATCAGAATAAGCTATTTATTTATAAACAATAAAGCACGGAACAGAAAAAAGGATTTTATGTAACTGAATTATATTTGTTTCTGAACGCACCATAACCGTGAACTTGAGCTCTACAAAATATAACAAACTAATAATGTGTGTCTGTCTGAAACTGCAAAATGCGTAAAGGATGTTTAATGTAACCCTGCAAAACCATATTTAGTAAATGTTTGCAAGTTTAATTTTGTGACTACTTTGGTAGTTTACCGATTTATAATAATTGTATTTATTGTTGAACAAAAACATATTCAAACACATTCATATGTGAAACACTGACACGTATGACGTAGGTAATCAGTATTGTGACGATATTTCAGAAAAATCACGGGCCAGCCTGCTGTTAATAATACTACCGAAAACATAATTGCGTTTTTAGAATAATTAGTTACTATACCTACGATAAATTACAATATAGTCTCAAATATATACTAGAGAAATATTGCAATTCGAATCAATGAAAACATACATGCAAACTATCAGTGGCGAAGCTTCCATTAAAGCCGAAAAGCCGGGCTTGCCTTATTAAACCTAAATCAATCAATAATATCAACTAATAAAATAACTCGTAAAATTTTTCAAGCTATTTCAAATTTCACGCGCACTGTACTGTTCGACACATGTCGACCGATTACCTCGTATTGCCTTAGCGATACTGCTGCTGTCATAAAAAATGAGTTTTAATAGATTCCCCCCCGGGGTTTTGGGAATTTACCTTACATTTATAATGAAATATAACTACGATTGTATATATAGCAATTAGTATAGAGATTTAAAGCCAGGCTTTTGAGAATAAATTTGTTAAAAGCGGAGGCGCGCGGGCAATACGTTTGCAAGTTCATTTCACGTTTCAATGTTTATTTGAACGTGTGTGTGCTTATCTTAAGCGAGTTAATATTACGAGTTCAAAATTTATGCTTTTTTAAAGATTTTTAATGAAAATGGAGGATAATAGTGTTCCTTGTGATGAATTGAAGTGTGTTAAAGTGATAATCGGAGAGGAAATCTTTAAAATTTGTTGAGATAATACACAAGGTTAAGAGTGTATTTCAGACTTATCAATTATCGCAATTAAAAACAGTTATTGGTACAATTAAAACGTTCACCAAAATTGTACGTGGACGTAATTAAATCTTTCCATAAGAAAGCGAGACGATTCCACTTATCTTTTATCCATTAAAATGTAAATAATTTGTTTGTTTTTTTTTTTTAATTTTGTACATAACTTGTTTGTACTTTGTTCGTGTTTTACTTTTGTTCATGTATTGTATTGGATGTAAATATTTTTTTCTTTCGCTTAAACAAACCCAAACAGCTTTCTTCAAAGCCACCTAAGCTATGCAATTGCTGATATGTAATACAATCTATCTAGCAGTGGTATGCCTTCTGTGTGCTTTGTTAAACACGTCCTTGACAGCACTGAATATGAAACTGAAGCGTGGAGACAGATCAAGATTGGTGTGTTTTTATAAAACTGCTAAAAACAACAATCTATATTTTTATCAATTTATATCTTTGGCTTGCCCTAGCTTGGAGCTCTAGCTTCGCCACTGCAAAATATGTATAATACACAAGAAATTCCGCGCGCAAATCATAGCGCGTGACAACCGAAATCAGAATATATTTTATAACAAGTCAAACAAGTGAACGAAGTTTGGGAACGGTTTTGTTTCGTCAATTCAAGGTCAGGAATACGTTAGTACCGTAGACAGAGACGGTTAGTACTCTTATTAGTTTGTTGTCAGGAAGGACGGCAACGTCGCTTTACCTACGATTTTAGGTATTTATGTTGCCACACAACAATAATAAGTAATAGAATTGTTTACAAAAACATATAGGTGTCTAAGGTCATTAGTTTTATGTTATTTTATACTGTTTTTAACGGTTGGAAAGGAAATTAACCAATTATTGAACTTAAGATATTGATTTATCAGAATTATTTAAGATCACTTGGATGCCATCTAGCGTGCCAATGTTTAAACGTCGCCTTTCGTTTGCTTGTCAAAAGTCACGCACACTACTAAAGAAATGTCAAATTTTTCCTGGTTTTCACTATTGTTTTTCTGAGTATATGTAAGTTATTGCCTATAAAAGTCAAACGCGTACACATTTTATTGTAGAGAAGTGATAAAATGATTAGTTTTAAAGAAAGAGTGTCTGTGTTTAGTGTATATTTTGGTTAAAAAATGTATGGGCGGACGGTCGACGCATCCACCTTAAGAACCTTGTTTCCCATCCGGTGTCGGTTCTTCGAGCTATATTGCCGGCCCATTGCCACCCCAGCTTACTAACTCGCTGGGTTATGTCGATCACTCGGGTTCTAGTGCGGTCTTGTGCCCATACAGAATAATAAAATAGTTAGTTTTTATATTCTTTTTAGTTAATTTCGACGAAAGATAAGTCTGATACTGTCGAATAATGATAACTTTTTATTGTATATAGAAATCACAAGTATACGCATTTATTAGATCTAGTCCGTCATTTTAATATACTCATATTCCCAATGTGGTATAATGTAATGTTTAATTTAAAAAACATACATTTCCGGTGCCTTATTCAATATTTAAATACATAATTTTTGTTATTCCATTGCTAGATATTTGTTAATTTGCTGTAAAGGGCTAATCATCTTACGTTCACCAGAGTTAGGACTAAGGTGAACTTATTTGTTACGCAAATGGTCGCACGGTGTTATCAGTATTGTTGCGCTTCATAATTAATGCCTGGTACATGGCGGGTGATTATTAGCGCCATCTAGTATTAAGTAGCAGAAATGGGAGCGTCAAGATCAAGTATTATCATCATTGAAAAGTTGCGTTTTATATAAGTTTTTCGATTTCTAGTGTATGTGTATACACACATCCGAAAAAGTTTTCGATCAGTTTTGAAAAATTGAACTCTTTTTGTTATGGTAGACTATATATAATTTCTTCTTCTTTTTAGATTCTTTACTTAAAAGTATATACTTAAAATATAAAATAATAAAACAAATTTAATTGTTTTTCCTTATAAAAAAAAATTCAATCCAAGCTTACGATCATTCAGAAATTTGACTTAGTCGAATTTTGAATCAGCGGGAGAAATATATTTTCGAGATAAGTTGTGGTTGCAAAAATGCCAAGAGAATCATCAGAAGTTTAACGAGCAAGAATTGTAAGTTTGAGAGAAGAAAGATATTCCACAAGAGAAATAGCACGCATAGTTGCTTTATCCCAATCCTGAGCAGTGGCCACGTTGCAGAGGTACCACGGCATGGATAATTTAGCTGACCGACTCTGCAGTGGTCGCCCAACTGTTCTGACTGCTGCTCAGAAGCGCTATATCAGATTCCTGGTCGCCTGTGATCAGTGGCGAAGCTAAGGCTCCAAACTAGGCCAAGCCCAAGATATGGTTTTGTTGTTTTTAGCAGTTTAATAAAAATACACCAATCTTGAGCTGTCTCCACTCTTTAGTTTCATATTCAGTGCTGACAAGGACGTGTTTAACAAAGCACACAGAAAGCATACTACCGCTAGATAGATTGTATGACATAATATGCAATTGCACACCTTCGGTGGTTTTGAAAAGAGCCGTTTGGGTTTGCTTGAGATATTTACAAACAATACAATACACGAACAAAAGAAAAGCATGAACAAAGTACAAACAAACTATGTACAAAGTTAAAAAAGGTACGCCTGGCAGATGTGAAACCTCGAAAATTATATTTTATTTAAGTTATATGCATAAAAGAACAGATTACGACAGGAATTAGATAGTTATAATGAGAAGATAAAGCTTTGCTAATTTTTACCGTAAAATAATGAGTATTTATTATAATTATAATTATTCATTTTCAATTCATAATAAACCGTACGAAATAATATTTTTAAACTCATATATCACTATAAATTAGCCGATAGCGTATTTGTGCCATCTAGCGTAATCTTTAGGTACCATCGTGAGAATCAACCAATTTTCGTTCGATAAAATGACTTTACCTATAGAATTAAGTAGATGGCGCCATTAAAATTTTATATACTGTAAAGTAGGCAGAGAAACCTAACTGGAAATAACTAAAGGGAGTACTATTCTTTATAAACCTCAACACATTCTTCTGTATTCTTTTGATTTATTTAATTAAAATTTGGACTTCACGTTAAAAAAAAGCTTGTAACACTTATTTCCTCTAAAATTAAACCTAGGTCTCATACTTTAGGCTGCTGTTCAAATTGATATTTTTAATTCGTATGGTAATATAAATAGTGATTTATTAAACCTTTATATACGCCTAACTTAATTAAACTTTTAATACTAGAGATTCCTGTACCTATATTTAAAGTATGAAGAAATGTTGATGTGATGTGAAATGATTTTTACCTTTTCCTCGCCGATTAGCACTTCAACACACTTATATTCATCACAATGAACACTATTATCCTCCCATTTTCACTGAAAATCTTCGAAAAAACATAAATTTTTAACAAACACAAAAAAACAAATATAAACATTGAAATGTGAAGTGAACTTGCATACGAGGGGCCCGCAACCACTTCGCTAGTCGCTAACGCACTCCTAAACAACTTCATGGGAAAGCCAGGCTTGTTGGCTCAATAGTAATTGCTATATCAACATTTCGTAGTTATATTTCATTATAGAATATTTTGCCATAGGTTAGAAAGAGAGCGATCGTCTTCTCGAAAGCCCCGTAAAAGGCCCACGCGAGCAAGGGAGACAACTAATCGCTCTATTAAAACTCACTTTATGACAGCATCAGTATTGCCACAGAGTACCTTTGTATAAACGTATCGCTAAGGCAATGCGAGGTCATCGGTCGACATGTGTCGAACAGTGGAGTGCGCGGGAAAATTGAAATAATTTGAAACAGTTTATGAGTTATTTTATTAGTTGATATTATTGATTGATTCAGTTTTAATAAGGCAAGCCCGGTTTTTCGGCTTTTATGGAAGCTTCGCCACTGCCCGTGATCTAACAATCAACGTCACTACAGTAAAATCAAAAGTGTGGGCCGCATCTGGACTTGAAGTTAGCACTCAGATCATTCGAGATTACTTACACCAGGCTGGACTACAAGAACGGGGGTCCTTGCGAGCACTTCAGACCAACGTCGGCGTTTGGGGGTTCATTTTTTTGTTGCTCAACCAGATTACCGACGTCTCCGTGTCTAAAGATGAACTGCAGACTCTGTAAAGCAAAGAACTTCCACTGGTTTGCACACACCAGCTTTGCTTGTGATGTCGTATTTTCTCCGAAAATACGATTCTAGTCTAACCTTGTGATATCGTATTTTCTCCGAATCATATGAATAATTACTCCAGCACATATAAATAAATGTAGTGTGAGTTAATAAATGAAAAAAGCTGACTCTGGTAATCCTATTCTTAAAATTCATATTATTAAAACTAAAAGTAGATAATGCAATAATTTTTTAATCAAATTCATAATTAGCAGACATTCCAGCTATAAATATTGTTAATCCAGAAAATGGTGGGGGAAAAGGGGGGGTGGGGGAAGGGAGGGGGGGGAAGATGAGGAAGGGGGTGGGGGGGGGCGGAAAAAAGAATTTTGTGGTTTGTTGATGGAAGAAAGAAAGGGGGGAGAAGAAAAAAAAAATTTTGTGGAGGAGAAGGGGGGGGGGGGGAAGGGGGCCCGGGGGGTTTTCATGGAAAAGCTTTTGGTCGTTGTTCGTGTAATTTTAATAGTAATAATGGTGGGGGGGTTAAAAATATATCAATAATATATTAAATCGAATTAATACTTGTGATGTCACATCACAAGGTTAGACTGGCCTGCCGGCTCCCCTGACTTAATAGAGCACGCGTGGGATCCTCTTAAGCGAGCTTATTGGAACCGGCAGCCACCTCCCCAGATAGTGCCAGAAATCAGGGAAGCTGCTATTCAGTAATGGGACAGGTTACCACCATAAATGCGAATAACTTGATTCTACGCATGTGTTCAGATCAGGGGAGGAGTTATATTGTATTAAATGAAAACCTATTAATGAATTGTTAAACAATCTTTTTATTTCCATCAAATTTCTGTTACAATTACATCATTAAATTACTTAATTTTTGTTATTAAAAATTTTATTTAATTTATAACAGTGTATTTCTATTGAGAAAAAAGATATAACGTAAACACTTTCTTGATAAAGTTAAATATTAAAGATATATCAGCTTTTGTTAGTGATCGAAAACTTTTTTTGATGTACATATGTACACAAAACAATGCCTCGGTGCTGTATTCTTTCATTTTTTACACATTTTCAACTTTTTATTTAATGATTTTTTATATTTATTACACCCATGTCCATGGGTGCTGTAATGCACACAACACTTCTCAGAAACTAAAAATAAATTATTTAAACGCAATAAAATCCGTCTAAATAGTTTTATTCAATTATTATTTATTTTTCTACTTTTTGTAATATCGGTAATTTAGTTTGTCCATTTCCAATCTAATATAAATAATTTTTCTAAGACATTAACTTCCCCCCTCGTTACTCATGGGGAGATGTTTGCCATAGTTGCCACGCTTGGCGAGCGGGTTGGCAACCGCAGTTTTTTATTATGTTATTGTTGTTATCAGGAAGATGCTGCTGCCCATCTCCTTTTGTACAACCATTGCATGTTGTCAGTGATGACCTTGCCCCAGCATGGTTCATAACCGAGACGTGGTCCTATACCGCTGGCAGTATGAGGACGCTCAAAGTCGCTCAGCGAGCCATAGCGAGGACTATGCTCGGGGTTTCTCTGCATAATAAACTTAGAAATGAGGACATTCGCAGTAGAACCAGAGTGACCGACATACAGGATTAGTAAGCTTAAGTGGCAATAGGCCGGCCATATAGCTCGAAGAACCGACAACCGTTGGGGAAAAAAGGTTTTCGAGTGGCAGCCTCGTACTGGTAGGCGAAGTGTAGGGCGATCCACCACCAGATGGAATGACGACCTGGTAAGACATGCAAGAAGTCGATGGATGCAGGTGGCTCAGGACCGTGCTTTGTGGCATAGCTTGGGGGAGGCCAATGTTCAGCAGTGGACTCGTAAAGGGCTGTAATGGTGATGATGATGATTAACTTCCTCCGCCGTGAAATCCGTCAAATATCGTACCTCATTCGTAAGTGGCGCCGTTCTGGTGACAGAAAAAGTCGTGCACGATGCCCTCATTAGCATGCGTTTCTTGCACGATTGTCTCACGCTAACAAGGAAGGTTAGCTGGTACAGAACCTATATATAAGCACTTGAAACTGCCTCCTTCGCCAGTCTGTATAAGTTCGCTTTTTAAATTATTATAACGCTGTTTGTCTAAAATACTATGTATGTGTAACATACTCTATATAATAAAAGAAATTGTATCTCTTCAGCAGGTTAATAACGACAAGGAAAAAATCAATAACCGCATTATAATGATGAAGACGACGAAGCGCGTCATAAAAATACCGGCGAGTCGCAACAAGAACAAGTTTCTGTTTCAACCGGTGGATAGAGTTGAATTAATGTTTCCGTTTGATATTGATGATTTGCAAAGGAGACCCATAGAGTCTGTTGTAAATCCGCTGCAGTCAATGAGGGATTTCAAAAAAAGTTCGTGGGCTGACGACATTATTCTAATACTACAACCATGGATAAATGAAGAAACGTTGGTAGGAAACCCCAACATGCTGGCCAAGTTGGCGTACCACAACAAAATGTATTCTCAATGTCTCAAAATGTTGTTAAACACTTTACAACACGGGATTCTGCACGACCAACTGTACGTCACACATCACGAGGATTCTGACGATTTGAACAATTCTAGAAAAAAAGACGAATTGAAAATCATAATAACGAACTCTATTTCAAAAAGAATTAAGGACATATCAATGTCGATACTAAATGAACAGCCGTATCCAGTTATCGATACAAATGTTTTCCAAACTTTGCCATGCTGTTGTGATGAAATGAAATATTTGACGAAGAAAATAATTCCCAAATTCTTCACCCAAATAACCGAAAGAGATCTTTCAGTTAATGCAGCAAATATAATAGACAAGTGCATAAGTATTTTCCCAGTTGACACTGGCCTGTGGGAGGTGTGTTTCCGTTTGTCAAAGGACTTTTATTTAGAGAACAATCTATCCATTCAGGAATTGGAGAAGGTATTACATAAGTATATGGCATCTAATGCAACAACAATGGCAGCTGCTATAATGTATTCTAGCGACTGTGCTCAATATAGCAAAATCCTTTCACCGAAATTCTATCTTAATATGTGTAGCGAAGTATTAGATACTTGGGGCTGAATACTGTATTGTGTTTAGAGGACTGGGAAAAAATAAAAACAGGAATAGTAGTTTTGTAATGAATGCATCATGCAAGATTACCAGGTAATTTGAAAATTATTATGTAATTTATCATGTCTAAGGACAATACAACATATAATACTTCGTATTGATCCATAACAAGACTATTAATAGAGAAACCATAGGTTTCTAAATTTTTTTTTAATATTAGAGAAGTGCCATATTATAAGTAACGTTTCGTAATATGTTAGCAGTGATGTCAATCCAATAATTATTTTCTTTCAAGATTTTGTCATTACATGATTAGGTTTCATTCCTAAATAAATATGGAATTTACAAGTGATGTTTTCAGTTCGTATTATAGTTATTAATATTCGCACATTTATTAACTGGTTCCTGTTATAAAAGTTTTATCTTTGTTAATTTGCACACATTTTTTTACTTAAGGTAAGCCACAATTTGTGATCAAGGCCTTATTGTTATTTTAACGACTTATAATATTCTTTGTAGTTCTTTATACATTATCAATAGGTTATTAGATTTTTTCTAGTCAGTAGTATAAGTTATTTTATTACTTAACACGAATTTATTTTTATAAACATGTACATATTTCAAACAACCAATAATTTGTAACTGGATAATATGAATAAAATATTTTCATGTCCAATATAAAATTAATCATTTTTATCTGTGATTCTTTTACTAAGTTTCAGAAATTGTGCAGCTTAATTCTTTACTTTTCTCGAATGATTGTAATTGTATTATCAATGTCAATTTTATTCAATAAACAATACGTAACATAATGTAACTTGTTATTTAAAACTATAGTATAATTATTTGTGTGTGTATTAATTATGTCCAGCACAAAGTCATAAAAAGCGTGCAACGTATGCAATATTTTATTATTATAACTAATATCATCAAAGTCATCTGGTCTATTGTTAAACAAATACCGCGTGAAATGTCGCCCCGCATCATTAATATCTTACAGGGCGTTGTTCAAATGATATGCCCCATATTTTCTTTATCAGCCTATTTCACTGCTGAACCTCTTATTTATTTTCAAACATGTCGGGGTGAATCATGCTGATGGTCGACTGATGGCGCAATATCCATCCAAAAAACGCAAAGACTGGTGGATGGAAAGCAACATTACCAGTGTAAGGTTATCACCCCTGTGTTCATCAGTCCACTTGCCTGGCGCTGCGAGTGCGGGCAAATCTTCCAAATAATGCATGCCAAGTGATTCCCGAATTGTTCAGAATATACATTCATTCTACTCTTTACTGCGTTTCATTTAATATATCAAGTCCGCCCCATCTAAAAAAAACGTTTTAAATTTCTCAGCTCCTGCCATAATTTTTCCGTACGATCTTAAGGAAAGGCTTTCACTTCATTGTCCTATACACTCCTCTACTTGTTATGATATAATAATGAGCGTGAAAACGCATGTTATGATAAAATAATAAAAAAATTGTTGTACTTACATCTCACTAGTTTTTGTTTCGCTTCAATAAATGCAGAAGTACCGAAGTTATTACTAAGAGAAGTTCGGAGCGCTTTTTTATATTCTTGAGATTTCGCGCGCTCGTAGTGTGACGTCAGCTCTTTTGTCTCTCACTGTTCAGCCATCAACTACGTACGCAACGGTGGTACGCTTATTTTTAAGTTTGTAAGGAGGTTAATTGTAAGAATTTAACATAGAAATCGGCTATGAAAAAGGTCAATCTGACAATTTAGCTAAAGTGAATGGTTTTATGGTAGCTCAATATTTATTAAAAGTAAGGACGATGGCAGCAAGACAAGCATTAACTTATCTATGAAGTAGTAGAAGGTTCGTTAAAAATATCACATTTTTTATAGCATAAGGGCGACAAACGAGCACACATTCCACCTGATGGTAAGTGGATGCTGTGTCCCATAGACATCTACATTTAACCTCGATTGAGAATCAAAAAGCAGATGCGTTGTCACCCTAGAGGACTAAGATGGAATGCCTCGATTCCAGTAAAACGGATCTCCGGTTCTCTACACTCACCATACGAAACACAGCAGCATTAAGCTGCTATTTTACGCTGGTATTCTGTGAGAGCGTGATAATTCCCCAGTCGAGTCGACCCATTCATGCTACAACCATTATATAGCTGCAGCTTGGCTCTACCACGTACAAACTACAAAAATCTTATGTAGGTACCGAAATCAGGGCTGTTGCAGCAGAGCTAACTAAGGTTCGCATTAGTCGAAAAGTTTAGTAAGAACTAAATTTGTGTGAAGTAGATGCAACATGTCCACTTACATTTTCACACAAAATATTTCTAAAAATTTCTGCTTTTTACATTTTTCTACAACGGACCGTACAGGTTTTTTCATTTAAGTACTTTTGACAAACAAACTTGTGAGGCACTACCTACGCTTTTCTTACTCCTTGTACTCGTTCAAACTTCCCATAGACATATTATGTTATTTTCAACCAAAGACATTTAAATAGTAGTGTATATATATATATATATATATATATATATATATATATATATATATATATATATATATATATATTTTGTTTTCAACATGAAAACAAAAATGAATTTATTTTACAACGACATGTATGGCGGAGCCAGGTTCCGGTTTCGATTTCCGAGCGGAAACGATTCTGGGTAGATTTGTTATTGTATGGTTGTATTTATATTTTTAAAGCTTGTGTTTGTACAAAATAGTTATTCAGGTTCTAAGCAAAGCTAGAAATATTTGACACACATTCTTTAAATGCGGGTCTCAAGCTCAGTAGTCTTGCCTGTGCTATACAACATTTTTTGATTGAAAAATGTAATCTAAATTATTATGATTTTCAAATACACAATAGTATACAATTTTCTATTATCAAAATGATCCTCACAACAGAATGCGGTAGCTTTTGGTCAAATTGAATCTGCTCTCTATAAAACGATTATTCACTTTTTTCTGAATATTTAGCTGGTATAGGACCATAAAAAAAGTATTTGGTGATTTTTGTCGTATTGTAACACCCCGAGTGTTACAATACGCAAACCTTCGCTCGCGAGCCGCACGCCGACGCTGGCACGCGAGTCTGTGCGTTAGATGGGTACGTGGCTATTTGCTTGTAGCATAGCGAAATCCGCGAGTTCGTAGTGAGTAGCTGACAGCAAGGGTACGGTCAAAGTGTACGTCTTTATAGTTATTATAATTATTATTAATGAAGAAATTTAAAATATCAATTTTTTGTGTGATATGAAAAATATGAATTTCATAGAAGTTTTTTTATTAAAAAATGAAGTATTATAACACAGATTATTAGAGTGCACACTAAAACCGCTTCTCTTTGAATCTGTCCAGTATCAGGCCTGCTGGAAGAAATTTCAATATGAAATAAGCAGTACAAATATCCTTTGTACAAAATATCTTTTTATTTTTCATCATAACATTACTTCGTGTGTACATAAATTGTTAAATAAATAATGAATTATTGAAAATGTTACTTGCATCTGAACTAACCGTCACATGCCAACATATCTATCAATCATTCAAAAAAGGCTTTAGCACCAAAGACCACATACATACCCTTCGGAAAATTGAACAGAAGACCGAAGAGTACAATCTGCCACTTTGTCTGTCAGTATGTGAACTATGAGAAAGCCTTCGATTCCGTTAATATTTGCACAGTGCTGCAATCCCTTCAGCGGTGCCAAGTTGATTGTCGGTATATCGAAGTGCTGAAGTGTTTGTACAGTAGGACGACGATGGCTATCCGAGTACAGAACCGTCAGATGAGGAGGAACATGCACCTTCCCTGTTGGAACTTCTGCTGACTTCTAATTCGAATAGATATCAGGTCTCCGTCGACGCCCCTCTTGGCTCCTCGGACCATTGCCTAGTCCGGAGTGTGGTGCCACTCACACTAACATCGCGGTTGCATTCTGCAGACTGCCGCTATGTTTTGACACCACAGGTCGGCGGATTGAAATAGGATGCGGTATTTTTGCTTTTTACCCTTGGAGGCGGGTTCGCATCTCGCCGGACGATCCCAAGGGTATGGAACTTGTTTTTCCTTCTTCTGTGGTACCCATCGGAGGTAGATCCCAGCCATGGTTTGGTCGCTCCTGTAAAATAGCATCATGCTATAAGCAGGAGTATTACCGGGCCTGGGCTGACGCCCTTAAAAAGAAGTATAATTCCGCCTCCAAGAGAGTCATTTTGCCACGCCAAGATCAGAGCACATAGGCAAAATTGACTCGAAACTAATTCGCCTTCCTTCTGGAACCCGTGCATTCTGGTCTCACGGCAAGGCTGTCCAAGGGAATTTCTGTCAGCCATCTCTTCCATCTCTGCTCAGGGAGGACGACTCAATGGCCCATGCCGCAAAGGAGAAAGCCGATCTGCTCTTTCTTTGCGTCCATCTCGACTCTCGATGGCGGGAGCACACTGCCGATCAACCCGTGGTGTGAGTGTTCCATGCCGGATGTTCGGTTCACACAGCGTTTGGATCAAAGCACTCCTTTCCCTGGACAAATTGTGTTGAGGACGTGTGTTCCAGAGTTGATACCGGTTCTAACGAGTCTTTTCCGATACTACTACTCCCTAGGCGTATTCCCGAATTTATGGAAGACAGCTTTGGTCCACCAGATACCTAAAAAAAGGCGACTGTTCAAACCCGTCTAACTACAGGCGTATCGCCATCATCTCCTTTTTCTCCAAAGTAATGGACCCCATTATAAACTGCCAGCTCATGCAGTACCTTGAGGATCACCAACTGATTAGTTACCGCCAATACGGTTTTCGTGTCATGCCATAAGATGCTCCCTTTCGATGTGCTTCCCGAGAAATTGTGCAATTGGGTCATCAGCTTTCTTGCAGATCAGAGCATCAAGTTCGTAGTAGACGGTGCATGCTCCGAATAGAAGCCTATTAATAATGGTGTTTTAAGTCTGCGTGCTATTACCAACGCTATTTCTTCTGCATATTAATGATATGTTGCACACCGGTAA